CGAGGCGGGACCGCGACGACGACGGCCCTCCTGCGTCTGGGGAGGAGGCGGCCTGGAGGATAAAACCTGGCGGGTCCGTGTACGGCTCCGCCTCACGGGCATTATTGTGGTAGTGTGGATGGCGACCGTGCTTTATCCGATTCAGGGTCTGAGCGCCGCTCTTCGCCCTCTTCGAACTACCGCTGACTGGAGTACGCCCCGCCTGTGTGGCCAAAACTATCGGCGTCTTGTGACGGTCATCGGCTTGTGAAGCAACACGTTGGTGACCACTCTCCTCAACACAGCTGAGTCTACGCAGGGCCGTCGAGATGCCTTTACAGCCAAGCATCTATCGATTCAATCCGAACGCAATCTGGCAACACCTTGCACATTTTCCAAGACCCTCATCTCGCGCCAGTCGCGCCAACTCGGCTCTATGATGACCACGGATCGGAGTCCTCTGGGCACGCGGCGAAAACCGAGTCTGGAGCAGCACAGCAGCAAAGATCTCGACCAGCTTACGCCCGCGCTGGACACACATACACACTCACACACACATCGAGAGCCTCTAACTCATCGGAGGAGGCTACTGGGTGCAGACCGAGAGCATCTTCGGCTAACCGATCAGCCTCTGGACTGCCGCGAGCGGCCCAGGCCCTACACCCCCAAACTGGAAAGGGCCCCGACAACTCCGTCTGACCTGTGCGCGGCAGTGTCACACGCGTGCCCGAGATGACCTTCAGGGCCAATCGCCAGGGCCATTCTGCGGAGCCCTGCAAACACCTGTTTTTGGGACAGCTCTTCTCTCCGACCAGCACTGTGTAATCGCCCTGCGCCTGCGCAACCGCCGTGAGGGGGAAGCTCCGCACCCGTTCGACCGCGCAGTACGTGGTGGCAGATACGTTAGGAGGCAACTACTGGGAGGTTTCCGTCAGAACAATTAAGGAGGATTAAGCCCCATTTGGGAGCTGTTACGCCAGAGTGGGCCTCGGATTAAGCGGGATTAAGCCGGATTAAGCGGGATTAAGCGGGATTAAGCCGGATTAAGCAGGATTTAGCTGGATTGAGCCGGATTTCGGACCGGGGCGAAAACCGAATTTGACCGCCCAGGAGTTGCATCCGAAAATACGAGTTCCTCTGCGGACCGTGCTGTCTGAAACAAGGTTGGCCACACCGATCCGATGAGCCTGGCACGGGCCGCATACTCCTCTCCTCGCTCGAGAAGCACTGATGTATACGCGGCACGGTTACCTTCACGACTGGCTTGCTGCGCGGCCGAGCCACCCACAACTACGTCACATCCCTGAGTGCGGGCGAGGAAGCTTCCAGATCAATATCATTGCCTTCAACATCTTGGGGCCCTGGGGGATGGGGTCAGGGCTAACCGCCAAAGCCTGATCGATGATGTCCTGACCGAAGTACGCACTCAAAGCGTAGCCGAGTGACTTTGCAAAATTACACGAGAGAAAACCCACTCAGTGGATGATTTGAAAATTAGTGGGATGGATGTTGAGATCGACTGTGGCATCGATAGTGAGATCGATAATACAATCGATAGTGAAGACGACGATCGTGAGACCGAGAGTGCAATCGATTCAATATGCTCGACATTGAGATCGATCGTGATATCGTTCGTGCGATACATAGTGAGATCGCTTGTGATATCGATGACGAGATCGACTGACAGATCGATGGTGAGGTCGAAAGAGAGGGGGGGGGTAATGAGATCGATGGCCAGACCGATCGACGAGACGATCGACCCGGGAACCCGGGAACCCGGGAACCCCGCCGCCCACCGAGATCGGCCCGGAACCGGGAGCCGGGAACCCGGGAACCCCGGAACCAGAAGCCTGGGAGCCCGGCCGCTCTCCGCACGCGGCCCGGCGCGTTCGCCAAATCTCTGTCAGTCTCCGCCAGGACCCTGCCCTTCCAGGAGGGCTAAAACATAGCGCCCGACTTATAAGAACCTGTCCCAAAGCTATGCTACGTCTTGGTTTGGGGCTGTTTCGTTCAGCTTTTTGTTAGGTCTTCAGGCATCCAGTGCTAAAAAATAGCTCTCTGGAAGGTCAGGGCCGACTTATAAGAACCTGTCCCAAAGCTATGCTACGTCTTGGTTTTGGGGCTGTTTCGTTCAGCTTTTTGTTAGGTCTTCAGGCATCCAGTGCTAAAAAATAGCTCTCTGGAAGGTCAGGGCCGACTTATAAGAACCTGTCCCAAAGCTATGCTACGTCTTGGTTTTGGGCTGTTTCGTTCAGCTTTTTTTAGGTCTTCAGGCATCCAGTGCTAAAAAATAGCTCTCTGGAAGATCAGGGCCGACTTATAAGAACCTGTCCCAAAGCTATGCTACGTCTTGATTTTGGGCTGTTTCGTTCAGCTTTTTTTAGGTCTTTAGGCATCCAGTGCTAAAAAATAGCTCTCTGGAAGGTCAGGGCCGACTTATAAGAACTTGTCCCAAAGCTATGCTACGTCTTGGTTTGGGGCTGTTTCGTTCAGCTTTTGTTTGGTCTTTAGGCATCCAGTGCTAAACAATAGCTCTCTGGAAGGTCAGGGCCGACTTATCAGAACCTGTCCTACGTCTTGGTTTTGGGCTGTTCCGTTCAGCTTTTTTTTTAGGTCTTTAGGCATCCAGTGCTAAACAATAGCTCTCTGGAAGGTCAGGGCCGACTTATAAGAACCTGTCCCAAAGCTATGCTACGTCTTGGTTTTGGGCTGTTTCGTTCAGCTTTTTTTAATTAAGTCCTTAGACATCCAGTGCCAAAAAAATAGCTCTCTGGAAGGTCAGGGGACCCCATCAGTGCAAGCGCTGATTGGGGAGCCTTTGCCTGTGGAGGAAAGGGAGCCGGGCTGACCACGCAAGGGACACACACACCGTCGAGCCCACGAGGGCAGGGAGAGGCAGAAGGGATGGGGAAAAGTAAAGGGGCCCTGGGACACACAAATAAATACACACAAACAAAAGGATTCCCCATAGTTTCCCATATATTATTTGGATTTCTGTCTTCCCCCCACTTCCCATACTTCCCCATATTTTCTGGGGAATCGGGGAGTAATTGTGTCTGTGCGTTTTTCCTCTCCTGATGAAGATGAAGAGGCCGCATCCAAAGATCGATGCTCGAGCAACAGCACCCTGACAGGGCGCAGACCTATGGCCCTGGAAGAATCTCGGGGACAACTCCGAGTCCAGCTCGTCGGAAGAACAGATTGTTGGTAGGCTTGCTGTCCTTCGGCGGCGAGCCTGGGGGGGAAGTGAGAAGGAGCAGGCCTCCTCAGAAGGCTCGGGAGTGCCCTGGCCTTCTGAGAAATGTTCTAAGCCTTCCCCGAACACACACACACACACACACACACACACACACATTAGCCTGGCGAAGCAGCGCGCCACGAGAGGGATGAAGCACGGGGCAACGCGAATGGAAACCCCGAAACGTGTGCGGGGTGTGCCGAAGTGGGCTGGGGGACGCATGCGGGCGCTGGCACTGGGGCCTTCGGCGGAGCTCCCTATGGGCCACGAAACTTAGGACGGGTGTCAAAATAGGCAGAGGAAGGCATACGAACCCTGCCACTGGGGCCTTCAGTGGAGCTCTATGGGGCCGCGAGGCGTGTGAGGCCACTGGGGCCTTCGGTGGAGTCCCCCATGGGGCCACGAAACGTGTGACGTCTGTGCCGCAATGAAGGCGGGGCCGCCATGCGAACTTTGCCACTGGGGCCTTCGGTGGAGCTCCCTCCGGGGCCACGAAACGTGTGAGGTCTGTGCCGCAATGAAGGCGGGGCCGCCATGCGAACTTTGCCACTGGGGCCTTCGGTGGAGCTCCCTATGGGGCCATGAAACGTATGAGGGGCGTGCCGAAATGGGGCGGGACCGCCATGCAAACCCTGCCACTGGGGCCTTCGGTGGAGCTCTCTGTGGGGCCACGAAACGTGTGAGAGTTGTACCCAAATGGGGCGGGGCCGCCATGCAAACCTTGCCGCTGAGGCCTTCGGTGGATCTTCCTATGGGGCCACGAAGCGTGTGAGCGGTGTGCTGAAATCGAGCGGGGCCGCCATGCGAACCCTGCCACTGAGGCCTTCGGTGGAGTCGCCCATGGGGCCACGAAACGTGTGAGGTATGTGCCGCAGTGGAGGCGGGGCCGCCATGCGAAACTTGCCACTGGGGCCTTCGGTGGAGCTCCCTATGGGGCCACGAAACGTGTGAAGGGTGCGCCGGAATGGAACGGGGCCGCCATGCGAACCCTGCCACTGGGACCTGCGGTGGAGCTCCCTATGGGGCCACGAAACGTGTGAGGGGTGTGCCGAAATCGAGCGGGGCCGCCATGGGAACTTCGCAACTGGGGCCTTCGGTGGGGCTCCTTATGGGGCCACGAAGCGTGTGAGGGGTGTGCGGAAACAGAATCATGCGGAGGGCAGAGGCACAGAGGCGGAGGAGGGAGGAGGGGGAGGAGGAGGAGGGCAGGAAGGAAGGAACGCGGGACGCTGTCTCTCCAAAACGAAGACCCAGCTCCACAGGATGGCTGGGAAGAACTTCTCAGAAGGCGCGAGGGCTTCTGAGAAGTCCCGCCGCCTTCTGAGAAGGCCTCCTACTCCTTCTCACCTCCCCCACCAGGCGCGCCACCGAATCTGGCTTTTGGGTCACAACTCGGGTCTCCTGCAGCCATTGGGAGCGATCCGGGCACCCCCAGAACGCTCTCGGCGAGGCGCGGCCGGGTGGAGAACCGCCGAGGAACTGCGAGAACGCCCGGAAACCTCGAACCTCGCCCGCCGCCGAGGCTCAGCTCGTGCAGGGGGGAGGAGGAGTGGGAGGGAGAGAAAAGAAGAACGACGATGTCGACGAGGACGACGACGACGACGACGCCGACGACGACGACGACGACGACGACGACGACGACGAGGAAGAGGACGAGGACGAGGAGGAGGAGGAGGAGGAGGAGGAGGAGGAGGAGGAGGCGGAGGCGGAGGAGGAGAGGAGGGGGAGGAGGAGGAGTGGGGGAGGGAGGGATGGATGGAGGGAGACGAGGACGGAGCGGGGGGAGGTGAGCACCGCCCGCCGGGCCTCCGGCTGCCCCTGCTGCCCACCCCAGGGCTCCAGGAGCTGCGCCTGGGGGGTCGGCGGCGTGGCGCCGACGTGCCCCCCGTGCTGCCACGCGGAGCGGGCGCATGCCTCCCTCCGGCTGTGTTGTGTATCCCTCCTCCTCCTCCTCCTCCTCCTCCGCCTCCGCCTCCTCCTCCGCCTCCTCCTCCTCCGCCTCCCTTCTTATCCTCCCCAATTCCCCCCCCTCCCCTCCCCCTCCTAGTGTCCTCCTCCTCCTCCTGCCTCCTCCTCCTCTCCTCTCCTCCTTCCTCCTGCTTTCCTCCTCCTCCTCTCCGCCTCCTCCTCCTCCGCCTCCTCCTCTCCTCCTCCTCCCCTCCTCCTCCTCCCCTCTTACCTGCCGTCCTACCCTCCTGCGCCGCCGCCTCTGCCTCCCATTCCTCTACCCTCCTTCTCCTCCTCCGTCTACCCCTTCTCCTCCCCTCCTCCTCCTCCTCCTCCTCCTCCGCCTCTCCTTCTTATCCTCACCCAATTCCCCCCCCCCTCCCCCTCCCCTCCTAGTGTCCTCCTCCTCCTCCTCCTCCTCCTGCTTTTCCTCCTCCTCCTCCTCCGCCTCCTCCGCCTCCTCCTCCTCCCTTCTCCCCCCTCTTACCTCCTCCCTACCCCTCCTGCGCCGCCGCCTCTGCCTCCCATTCCTCTACCTCCTCCTCCTCTCCTCCTTCTCCTCCTCCTTCTCCTCCCCCTCCTCCTCCTCCTCGTCCTCCTCCTCCTCCTCCTCCTCCTCCTCTCCTCCTTCTCTCCCGCCCCGCTCTACCTGCCGTCCTACCCCTCCTGCGCCGCCGCCTCTGCCTCCCAATTCCTCTACCCTCCTTCTCCTCCTCCTTCTCCCCTTCTCTCCTCCTCCTCCTCCTCCTCTCCTCCTCCTCCTCCTCGTCCTCCTCCTCCTCCTGGTCCTCTTCTTCCCCCCCTTCTCCTCCTCCTCCTCCTCCTCCTCCTCCTCCTCTTCCTCCTCCTCCTCCTCCTTCTCCTCTGTACTCCTTGCTTCCCTTCGCCCCTTCTCCCCAGCTGCTCCGAAGAGGATCACCCCGCCTGTGACCGAGGTGCTCGATTCGCCGAGTCTCTGCCCGTGCGTGCAGACTCTGCGCCAGTGTACGGATAGGATGGCGTTCGATACGTGCGCGTCACCGCCCTCCCACACGGGAGGGGCAGAAGGACCAGAACAGGGATGACGTGAGGAGTGCGACCGAAGGGTGCAGGGCAACCCGGCGCGAAGGCTCAAGGACGTTCGAGGAGTGATGCAGGCAGCGCCTCGAGGACGCGGCATTGACGACGGCACGCTCGCTGCAAGCGGGGGGGGGGCAAGAGAAGACTAAAGGGTGGATTCGACGAGGGCAGATGCGCTGTGAACCCAGCATAGCGATACAACTGTTGGGCCCAATCTCGACGACTCTGCAAAAACGTAGGGAGGACTCGTTCACACAACATTGCCCGTCACCTGCACACCGCACTACTCACAGCACAATGTCCCGCCCACACAGTTTTGGACACCACGCGAGGTTCCACAATATACTGCGGCGTTGCCGAAGTTCTTGGAACGACTTAGATGATTGAACAATAATGTATAGTGTGATATAGGTGTCCATTGGGTGAACACTGCTGCCAAGTAGGAACACAAACAGGAGCATCAAATATCCTGGCGAAGGACCCAACCATATGCAATCGTGAATACGGGTACCGCAGTGGGGGCACGAAAAGTGTGAGGGGTGTGCCGAAGGAGGGGGCCGCCATGCGAGCCCTGCTACTGGGGCCCCAACGGGGCCATGAAACGTCAGAGGGATGTGCCGAAGTTGGGTGGGGCCGCCATGCGAACTTCGACTCTGAGGACTTCGGTGGAGCCCCCTTTATGGGGCCACGAACCGTGTGAAAGGTTCTCCGAAATGGGGCGGGGCCGCCATGCGAACTTTGCCTCTGGGGCCTTCGGTGGGGCTCCCTATGGGGCCACGAAGTGTGTGAAGTATGTGCCGCAATGGAGGCGGGGCCGCCATGCGAACGTTGCCAGTGGGGCCTTCGGTGGAGCCCCCGATGGGGCCACGAAACGTGTGAGGGGTGCGCCGAAATGGGGCGGGGCCGCCATGCGAACCTTGCCACTGGGACCTCCGGTGGAGCTGCCTATGGGGTGCGCCGACATGGGGCGGGGCCGCCATGCGAACTTTGCCACCGGGGCCTTCGGTGGAGCTTCCTATGGGGCCACGAAGCGTGGGAGGCGTGCTCGAAACAAACGCGGAGGGCAGAGGCAAGGGAGGGAGGAGGGAGGGGGGGGGAGGAGGAAGGAGTGAGGAACGCGGGGCGCTGTCTCTTCAACACGAGGACCCAACACCACATAATGGTTGAGAAATGCATCTCGCTAAATAAACAAACAAAAACTAGGTTGTCCCGCTTGGCAGCTTCGTGCTTGCGTAGCCACCAAACTAACAAGTAGAGAAGGCGAATAGTGTTCAGTCCGTCGCATCGCTGAGAGACAATGAGAATGTAACGAACCGCGCCGAACATCCGCGCACCTTTTTCACCACAAAACAGAAACCCTGCCGTAGCTTGAGCCCGCCATCTTCGAGCGGAGGGAGGGGGAGAGGGCGGAGGAGGGGGCCGAGGGAGCAACGTGGAGAAGGAGAGAGGGAGAGACTGGGAGAGTGGACTAGGATGAGGAAGCGGGAGAGGAGGGACACGGATGGAGAAAAAGAAGGGAGGGTGAATTATCTTGGCGAAGGACCCAACCGTAAGCAATTGTGGGTACCGCAGTGAGCTCCGCCTTCGGTGGAGCTCCCTATGGGGCCACGAAACGCGTGAGGGGTGCGCCGAAATGGGCGCGGTGGCGCCACCCGAATCTTCCAGTGGGGCCTTCGGTAGAGCTCCTTATGGGGCCAGGAAACATGTGAGGAGTGTGCCGAAATGGGGCGGGGCCACCATGCGAACTTTGCCACTGGGGCCTTCGGTGGAGCTCCCCATGGGGCCACGAAACATGTGAGGGGTGTGCCGAAATGGGGCGGGGCCGCCATGCGAACTTTGCCACTGGAACCTTCGGTGGGGCTCCAAATAAGGCCACGAAACGTGTGAGGGGTGCGCCGACATGGGGCGGGGTCGCCATGCGAACCTTGCCAATCGGGCCTTCGGTGGAGCTCCCCATGGGGCCACGAAACATGTGAGGGGTGTGCCGAAATTGGGCGGGGCCGCCATGCGAACTTTGCCACTGGAACCTTCGGTGGGGCTCCCAATAAGGCCACGAAAGGTGTGAGGGGTGCGCCGGCATGGGGCGGGGTCGCCATGCGAACCTTGCCATTGAGGCCTCCGGTGGAGCCTTCCATGGGGCCACGAAACGTGTGAGGGGTGCGCCGAAATGGGGCGGGGCCGCCATGCGAACTTCGACATTGGAGGCCTTCGGTGGGGCTCCTTATGGGTCCACGAAACGTATGAGGGGTGCGCCGAAATGGGGTGGGGTCGCCATGCGAACTTTGCCACTGGGGCCTTCGGGGGGGTTCATTATGGGGCCACGAAACGTGTGAGGGGTGCGCCGATATGGGGCGGGGCCGCCATGCGAACTTTGCCACTGGGGCCTTCGGTGGAGCTTCCTATGGGGCCACGAAACGTGTGAGGGGTGTCCCGAAATGGGGCGGGGCCGCCATGCGAACTTTGCCACTGGGGCCTTCGGTGGAGCTCCTCATGGGTCCACGAAGCGTGTGAGGGGTGCGCTGAAATGGGGCGGGGCCGCCATGCGAACTTTGCCACTGGGGCCTTCGGTGGAGCTCCTTATGGGCAGCGAAACTTGTGAGGGGTGTGCCGAAATGGGGCGGGGCCGCCGGGCGAACTTTGCCACTGAGGCCTCCGGTGGAGCTCCCCATGGGGCCACGAAACGTGTGAGGGGTGCGCCGAAATGGGGCGGGGCCGCCGTGCGAACTTCGACATTTTTAAGCCTTCGGTGGGGCTCCTTATGGGTCCACGAAGCGTGTGAGGGGTGCGCCGAAATGGGGCGGGGCCGCCATGCGAACTTTGCCACTGGGGCCTTCGGTGGAGCTCCTTATGGGCAGCGAAACTTGTGAGGGGTGTGCCGAAATGGGGCGGGGCCGCCGGGCGAACTTTGCCACTGGAACCTTCGGTGGGGCTCCAAATAAGGCCGCGAAACGTGTGAGGGGTGCGCCGACATGGGGCGGGGCCACCATGCGAACTTCGCAACTGGGGACTTCGGTGGGGCTCCTTATGGGTCCACGAAGGTATGAGGGGTGCGCCGAAATGGGGTGGGGTCACCATGCGAACTTTGCCACTGGGGCCTTCGGTGGAGCTCCTTATGGGCAGCGAAACGTGTGAGGGGTGCGCCGAAATGGGACGAGGCCGCCGGGCGAACTTTGCCACTGAGGCCTCCGGTGGAGCTCCCCATGGGGCCACGAAACGTGTGAGGGGTGCGCCGAAATGGGGCGGGGCCGCCATGCGAACTTCGACATTTTTAGGCCTTCGGTGGGGCTCCTTATGGGTCCACGAAACGTATGAGGGGTGCGCCGAAATGGGGTGGGGTCGCCATGCGAACTTTGCCACTGGGGCCTTCGGGGGGGTTCCTTATGGGTCCACGAAACGTGTGAGGGGTGCGCCGATATGGGGCGGGGTCGCCATGCGAACTTTGCCACTGGAGCCTTCGGAGGGGCTCCCGATGGGGCCACGAACCGTGTGAGGGGTCCGCCGATATGGGGCGGGGCCGCCATGCGAACTTCGCCACTGTGGCCTTCGGTGAAATTCCATATGGGCGGCGAAACGTGTGAGGGGTGCGCTGAAAAGCGGCGGGGCTGCCATGCGAACTTTGCCACTGGGGCCTTCGGTGGAACTCCCCATGGGGCCACGAAACGTGTGAGAGGTGCGCCGCATTGGTGGGCACGCGGAGAACAGAGGCACGACGCTGACGATGGCGATGTTGATGGCACCGATGATGGCGACGGTGTCCACGATGATGGTGATGGTGATGATGGTAATGCTGGTGATGGTGATGGTGATGGTGATGGTGATGGTGATGGTGATGATGATGATGCTGATGATGATGATGATGATGATGATGATGAAGATGAATGATGATGATGACGATGACGCCAGCAACGACGAAACGGAAGGGGGTGGGCTGGTTTCGCCCGCGGCAACGCCTGCGGCATCGCCTGCGGCATCGTCTGAGGCATTGTCTGTGGCATCGCCTGCGGCATCGCCTGTGCCAGCGCCTCTTGCTCCGCCAGCTGCTGGACCTGCGCCCCGCGCAGTTCTCCCCCCACGCCCTCCTCATCGTCCACCCCCCGCTCTCCCTCCTTCTCCTCCTTCCCTGAGGCGGCACCTGGAACATGAGAATGAGGTTGCGAGTCAAGAGGACAGGCTGCTCCGCACAGAGAAAGAGCACTGTCAACCAAAACGGTCGAGGAACGCCTGCAGACATCGCCACCGATGCGTCTCCACAAAATGACCCCGACCACATTCACTGACAACTTTGTTTGGGTCCTTCCACTCAGGCTGGGAAGGCAAGTGCGTAATACCGTCGTTGCCATCTTTCAAACATATACGAGGGGGGTGGCTTCCTGACCCACACACACACGCGCGTGACAGGCCGCTCCGTCGCGGAAAAAAAAACATGGCCCTGTGAGATCAGGGCAGGTTGGGTGTCCACGTCCTGCGAGAAACAGCCTGGCGACGAAGAATATATCAGATGCCATTGCCATCCTGACGTAACTACCGCCCTTTGGGTGGAGGTCGCGGCGACTGCAGCGCTTGCTCGTGGGATAATGAACGCGGATGGTAAAAGATGCGATTAAGTCTCTCCCTGATCGGAGTGCTCTTCACAATCAGACTCAGTCTATTGACTATCACGTCTGTTGGGCATTGGCACATTTTGCTGCCGCTAGTGATCAACACAATGTGTATGGCCACCGTCGCGCACCACTAGGCTACCAGACACCATCCGGCTCGAAGCATGGAACGGGGTCTCCGGCTCCGAGATTGGGCCCGAGACACGGCTGAGGCCGCCTGCCTTCATCCTCGACTTGTCCGTTGCGACTGTCTTCCCGTCCGTGCTCACTGCCACCAGCATGTCTTGAAGATGGCAGTGTCGCCGGCCTGGATACCCCAGGCTGCGGCCCGCTTTTGGCAGTGACGGAGGCGCCAGGAACGCAAGCGAGCTGGCCTGCTCGCTTGCGCTCCTTGCCCAGACCGCAATCGTACTCGAACTTTGGCCGGGAGCTTCCCACATCGCCTCGGCAGACGCGGCGATGCGACTCGCCGAACCGGATCAGGCCGGGTCGAATCGAGGGCGGCGCTGCGTGGTCCCTCAGGCCGAGCGCGAGAGGATGCGGAGCATGACGCTCTCAGAATTCCTCGTGGCAATTCTCGCTTCGCATGGCTCTCGGCATGGCTGCCGAAAATTCCGAGGGCTCCGCGGTGTGGCTCTCGTCCCGTCTCTCTCGTGTCGCTTTGGGCATCCCGGCGCCACGGACGCCCCATTCGCGGCGGGCAAGGCTTGCAAGGAGGAGGCCAGCGAGCGCAAGGCCCAGCAGCAATCGGACTCCCATGGATCCTGCGTTCGTGCAAATGTGTGTGTGCGGCCGTGATCAGCACCGCGGGTCCGTGCGATCACTGCCCAGTTGGGACGAAGTCCGCCCTGATGGAATACTGAAACACGCTCACCCCAAAGAACGAGATCGACGCCGTGTTCACGAGTGCTCGCACGTGCGAGGTCCGCCCCAGTAGCAAGCAAGATCGGAAACAATGGATGAATCGTGTGTTCACCGTGGGCAGCTCGCATCAACATCTTGAGGGTGCCGCCATCAATTCCTTCAACCCGCTCGGCGGAGTGTGGAAATACGGAGCGGCCCCGAAGGGGGCGCTCGAGCACAACACGCAAAAACTGCTGGACAAGCTGGAGGGCGAGAACTGAGTGCTGCATTGTTGCGCCTGGCATATATTCAAGTTAGCCTGGCGAAGGACCCAACCATATGCAGCTGCGAGTAACGTAGGATATTACCTTCTCATCGTAGGCAGCGCGCCGCGAAAGGGATGAAGCACGGGGCAACGCGGATGGGAACCCTGAAACGTGTGCGGGGTGTGCCGAAGCGGGCTGGGGGACGCATGCGGGCGCTGCCACTAGGGCCTTCGGAGGAGCTCCTTATGGGCCATGAAACATGTGAGGGTGGTGCCAAAATACACAGAGGAAGGCATACGAACCCTGCCACTGGGGCCTTCGGTGGAGCTCTACATGGGGCCGCGAGGCGTGTGAAGGGTGTGCCGAAATGGAGGCGACGCCGCCATGCGAACCCTGCCGCTGAGGCCTGCAGTGGAGCTCCTTATTGGGCCACGCAACGTGGGGGGGGGGGGTGCCGGAATGGGGCGCGGGCCGCCATGCGAACCCTGCCGCTGGGGCCTTCAAAGGAGTCTCCTACGGGGCCACGCAACGTAGGGGGGGGGGGGCCGGAATGGGGCGCGGGCCGCCGTGCGAGCCCTGCCGCTGGGGCCTTCGGAGGAGCTCCCCACGGGGCCACGGAACGTGTGAGGCGTGTGCCGAAATGGGGCGGGGATGCGAACCCTGCCGCTGGGGCCTTCGGGGGGGCTCCCTAGAGAGCGACGAAACGTGTGAGGTGTGTGTGTGTGTGCCGAAGCAGAGACATGCGGAGGGCAGAGGCACGGGCGTGACGCAGGGCGGGAGGAGGCAGGAGGGGGAGGAGGAAGAGAGGAAGGAAGGAGCGCGGGGCGCTGTCTCGTCATCCGTCCAAACGAGGACCCAGCACCACAGGATGGATGGGAAAAACAGCCAGATGGGGAGAGATGTATGTTTAGGTAGTGCTGTTGCTGTTTTTGCTTCTCGACTTGAACGCATGCTCTGTTTGCGTTCTGGCTAGCTTCCTTGCATTCTATTCCCCACCCCTCCCTCCGACGCCCTTTCAAACAACGCTGGGCCGAAACGGCGTGCAACTGAGTTCCGACTTGAGTGAAGCCCAGATTTCCTTTCGGGCCTCCTCACGCCAACCCCCCCTCTCGCCCCTCTATGCAAATACATTTGCCCGAATATGACAGAACTTTGGACGTCCGACATGGGCACGGAAAAAATGGGTATCATGCCCAACACCAAATGTTGTCCCAAACCAACAGCGGCCGCTGTTGGGCAGGCGGCCTTCTGTCTCGAATGGACACAGGCCGCGGCGGCGTGAACAGCGAATCCTGTTCAAAATGAACAGGAACTGCTGTTGGGCATTGTGCCCATTCTTTCCGTACCCATTTCGGGCGTCCAGAAGAACAACCTGTCTCCCTCTTTGGGATGATGGTGGCTCGATGTCAGGACCGGCCGACCCTGGCCTCGTCCAGGGGGAAGGCCCCAGCCCGTGTGGTGCAAGATATGCGGTGCGCCCTGCGTGGTGCGATCTGTGGTGGACGCCACCCTGCAGAGCCTGCCGTCGTCAACTCCACCACCCGCGCAGTAATGCCACCCTCCTATCCGCCACGTTTTTTGGCACAGACCATGCGTCTGCGATTGCGGCGACTACTTGGCACTGGCTGGCGCATCTCTGTGGCTGCGCTAGCGCGCGCAGGCTCGCGCGCCGAGCGCAAGCTGGTTTGGCACAAACGACGCGGCCGCGATGGCGCTTACCCATGGGAGCTTTCCAGCGCGTCTCAACGGCCAGCCGCGCTGGCGCGAGGGCACTTCAATGTAGGTCGGTGATTCGGATGGGCGCGGTATCATGTTGACGTCGAGAACGGCGGCAACGACGACGAACCGCCGACCCCCGCTTGCCAGGGGTGATATGATTGGCTACACCATTCCCCCTTTTCCCATCCCCCAGGGTCCAAAATCTAATCTTATGTCGGGCGTGTCCCCCTACAGGGGGATTTTCGACGAAAAATAAAAATACCCCCAAAAAAGAATCCAAAAAAAATCAAAAAATAATATGGGGACTATGTTTGAAGATTTTTTGACTTTTTTGGAATATGTTTAGGGTATGTTCTATTGTTCGTCGAAAATCCCCCTGTAGGGGGACACGCCCGACATAAATCCAGCCTAAGGGAGGGGGGTGCACGAGCTCCCCGCCGCCTCCCCGGAGACTCTGGAACTTCTGAATCTGCCTTCCGTGGTCTCAAGGACATGCCAAGACGGTACCGAATCGCCGAACGACTGGCCCCAAGACGCCTACGACGGCTCCAGGACGCCCAAAGACGCCGCAGAGACAGTGGGTTGCCTTGGGTTGTTCATCGTTTCTGGGGTCTTCGTCGTCTCGAGCTTCCGACGCACCAAGACGGCCCAAGCGGCCCCGTAGACCGCCCCAAAACTGGCCAGGAGGCCCCTACGAGGGCCCCAGGACTGCCCAAGAGGGTTCCAAGACGGCCGAAAGAGTGGCCCGAAACGGTCCAAAATCGCCCCAAGATGGCCCCAAGAGAGGCCAAGAGGAAAAACGCGAACCGAAAATCCGATCTTTCCGCCAGAAGAGGCCCACCAAAAGCTCGAAGAAGTCCCCAAGCGACCCAGAAGAGGCCCCCAATAAGCCCCAAGAGGCCCCAAGGAGGCTCAAGAGGCCCCCGAACGGCACCCAGGACGCTTCAAAACTGCCTCCATGAGGCTCACACCCAAAAATCAAAACGCTCCCAAAAGTCCACAGATAGTGCCCAAGAAACCCACGATGCCTCAACCGTAGACTCTCCTGAGGCCACCCGAATGGCGTAAGCCTCTTGAGTAATAGCGATTGCCGTGGCGACTATGACGATGACACGGTAAGGCCAATGACAGCGCCGATGCTGGTGACGTGCTTCGAGTACCAATGGCGTTTGAAGAATTCCCCCGAGACCAGAAGGAGAAACGGCAGCGGCACCGTGCACCTTCGGTGGCAATTCATGAGAGCCTCCCATGCCATCCTGCTGGCTCTTGCGAATCGACACTAAGCGACACTAGCCGACGCTAATGTACGCCAAATCGACGGCAATCGACGCTCAATCGGCGCTATCTCGTCGACTACCTGACGCTAATCGACGATAGTGCACTAGAAAGACGGAGTCACAAGGGTATGCAAGGTCCCATGATCTGCTCCTCCACCTCCCCCTCCCCCTCCTCCACCTCCCCCTCCCCCTCCTCCACCTCCCCCTCCCCCTCCCCCACCTCCCTCCTCCTCCTCCTCCTCCTCCTCCTCCTCCTCCTCCTCCTCCTCCTCCTCCTCCTCCGCTTCCTCCTCCTCCTCCTCCTCCTCCCCCTCCTCCTTCTCCTCCTCCTCCTCCCATGCACCTGTGTCGGGGGGGGGGGGGGGGGGAGGGCGGGGCAGCCTGCAGCGCCTGCCTCTGCTGCTCGTAGGCCGCCTGCTGCAGCCACTGCTGCTCCACCGCTGCCGCGTAGGCGGGCTGCGCGCAGGGAGGGGGGCAGCCCGTCCGGGCCCGAGGCGCCGGCTCCTCCTCCTCAGCCCCTATACGGTGAGCGTTCTTCATTCGGCGCTTCGGCATCTCGCCATCGCTCGGACGTCCATTCCCCGTGCATTTCTCGATTTCGTGCGTGTATGTTTCGCTAGATGATTAAGAATGCTCCTCGATGGTCGTCGCCAAGAAAAAATGCACACGTCCGAGCGATGCCAAGACAGTGGGCGGAAAGGGGGGGAAGGGGGGGGGTCCTCGCTCCAGACCTCTGCTCAGTGCGACTGTTTGCAAGGGTGCTGCCTCTGGGGGGGGGGACTCCACCTGCATGCTCGAAGCAGATGCCAACACACAGCCAAGATCTACTGAGGGGGGGTGGGAGGGCCCGCGCCGATCGGCAAAACAAAGAATTAAAAAACAACCACAAGGCGAAGCTGGGATGAGGACAACAGCGGTACGGATAAAATCGAGAACCTCTGAGGTCCGACGGGTCTGGGGGATGCATCGGGCGCCGCGGCCCTCTCCGAGCCTGCCGACACGCTCCGAGAGCGCGCCCTGGAGCACTCCGGAACGGATCCGTCCGCGCCCCAGCCCCGTCCGAGACCCCCGCAGGTGCGGATCAGAAGGAGGGAGCGGGCGCGGGGTGCGTCCCAGGTGGGGGCGCGGGGGTGGGTCGAGAGGGCGGGTGGCGGGTGGGTGGCGGGTCGCGGGTGGAGCGCGGGCGAGGGCGGCGACGACAACAAGGCAGCAGCGCTCCGCGCCGCGTGGAGCCCCACGTCGGCCGCGCGCCCAGGGGGCAGGGAAAATGGCCGCTCGGCCCCGTCGCTCGGAGGCTCCTCCCCGTCGCACCCCCAAAGAGCGTGCCCGCGGGGCGGGCGGCCGCCGTGGCGCCCGCGAGCTCGTCACAATGTACACCCTGCGAAATGCTTAAGAAATCATGGGTTAAGAAACTCAGAGTCTCAGAGCTTTAATACAAAACCCAGAACTTCTATCAAAATCTTGGGATCTACATTGAAACATTAAGAATAATCGAGCCTCTGGCCGAAAACTTGGGTTTTCTTAAGCATCGCCTGGAGTGTATATAACACACTGGGGCCTGATGTGCGCAGCAGTCTCTCGCGGACGGAGGGCGGGTGGCTTTCTCAACATGGCCACTGCTCGCCGCAGCGCCGCGCACAGCTCGCCTCTCAAGCATTCGCAGCGCAACGTCAGGGGGTGGAGGACGGGCCGTGCTCGAGAGGTGGCTGGTTCAATAACTGACCACCTACCAAACCACCCCAACCCAACCCGAAGGCCCAAATTTATCCTCGATTTCCAGTGGGGGGGGTCGGGGAACATCGAAAAAACACATGGGATCCGTACCCCCCCCAACCCGAAATTCGGGTCGAATTCGGGCCTTCGGGTTGGGTTGGGGTGGTTTGGTAGGTAGTCAATAACGGAGAGCAGGCCGTTTTCAACATGCGGCTCTCGCCGTAGCGCCGCGCACATTCGCCTCAACCGTTTGCAGAGGGCGGCTCATGCTTCAAGATGTGGCAACCGCCTGTGAGCCGCGCGCATTCGTCACAAAGTTGACAACCGCTTCAAAGGCTCGTACGGTTGAGGGCCAGGGGGCGACGTTCTGATAAGACTTCGGATTGGCGGCAAGAACTGCCTTCTGGTACGACTAGGATTGTCAGGAATCAACAGTCACGTTGATTCGCAACGTTGAAGTCCCAGGACTTCTGTTTTGGCACGATTGAAGAAACTCAGGCGCGGGCACTTCCCGCAGTGAAGATATAATCTCTTCGGGACCTATCAAAAGAGAGCTTTGAGGGAGGGTATGTTGCACCATCGTTGATGCGTCTTGGATCTACACTGATCCTCCTCCTCCTCCTCGGCCTCGGTCTTCGCCTCCTCCCCTAAGCATGGGCGAAATGGTTCCTGGACGAAGAAGGTCCTGAACATGCTCGCCGTCTTCGGGCCTCCAAGTTCCTGGACGAAGAAGGTCCTGAACATGCTCGCCGTCTTCGGGCCTCCAAGGTCCCCTGCGGGACCCGGAACCGTCGACTCAACGAGTGCCATGCCCGCTAAATCGTATGGCAATACGAGTACGGGTTGAGCTGGGCACAAGGAGTACGAGTGAGTCTGAGTATGCGGACTCTGAGCGTAACTGAGTCTGAGTGTGAGTGAGTCTGAGAACCAATGGCCAGAGAGACCAAGTGTGAGCTTACATGGTTCTGGCCATGAGCGAGTCCGAGCATGCGGGTCTGAGTATGAGTGGATCTGAGTGGGAGACTGACTACAAGTGAGTCTGAGTGTGAGTGGTTCGAGGGTGGGAAGTCTGAGCATGGGTGAGTCTGGGTACGGGTGAGTCCACGCGTGAGTCCGCGCGTGAGTGAGTGAGGAAGATGAGCATCAGACTGCTAAGCATAATTAGCACCATTCTGAGGATATGGAGAATAACATGTAGGAACCAACGACACTTTCCCGTCACCCCCTGTGGCTCATCCCACCCGCTCTCCCATCCACTATTCCCCGTGCCCGCGCAGGCGCGCGCGCGTGTGGAGGATACGATTGTAGAGTGGGGGGCATCCCCAATCCTCAGAGACTGGGATGGCACCTTGGTGCGCAGCGGCGGTGGCGGGACGCGCGCGGAGGAGATGGAGGCAGTTAATGAAGGATGAAGAAGAGGACGAGGATGAGGAGGACAAAGACGATGAGGATGAGGAGGACAAGTAGGAGGAGGAGATGGAGGAGGAGGAGGAGGAGGCGGAGGAGGAGGACGAGGAGAAGGAGGGGGATGAGGAGGAGGAGGAGGAGGAGGAGGAGGAAGACAAAGAGGAGGAGGAGGAGGAGGAGGAGGCAGACAAGAACAGATGAGGAAGAGGAGGAAAAAGATAAGGACAATGATAAAGACGAGTCGAGGAGGAGGAAGAGGAGGAGAAAGGCGAAGAGAAGAAGGAGGAGGAGTAAGAGTAGGAGGAGTAAGAGGAGGAGGAGGAGGAGCAGGAGGAGGAGGAGGAGGCAGACAATGACGAATGATGATGATGATGATGATGATGATGATGATGATGATGATGATGATGATGATGATGATGATGATGATGATGATGATGATGATGAGCAGGAGGAGGAGGAGGAGGAGGAGGAGGAGGAGGAGGGAGGAGGAGGAAGAGGAGCAGGATCACAAGGAGGAGGAGGAGACGGAGAAGGACGAGGAAGAAGAGGACGAGGAGGATGAAAAGGATGAGAAAGAGGAGGAAACAGAGGAGGAGGAGGAGGAGGAGGAGGAGGACGAGGAGGACCGGAGGACCTCTCCGACCTTCACCCCAAGCTCCCCCCCCACAACCCAGTGCGCCAACCCACCGGCCGCCTGCATCACCATGGGTGTGCCGAATGGCGGAGCTGGCGCCCCAAGCGCCACGGGCACCTCGCGACGTGGCAGATGGAGGGACGGGCGAGCGAGGCGAAAGAATAACAACGCACACGCACTCAAACCTGTCGGGGGAAGGGACGGGGAAGAGCAAGACGATGAAGAGGGTGCAAGCACGGGTGCGGGCTGTCAGGCCCCGACGGAGCGGCGCCCGCTCGAACGAGGACCCCCCTCCGACCAAACACACACACACACACGCGCGCACACACACACATCACATCTGGCCACCCCTGGAATTCGACACGAAGACATCCGGGGGTCGCGTCGGTATGGATGCCAGCGGACGGCTCACGAAGAGGGGGGGGCGGAAGGCACGGAGAGCCCGCGCGGAGGGGGGGGGTGCGGCGGCACGGTAGAAAGCAGTGTACAGGGTACTCTTGGGCCGCGAGCCGCCATAAGGATGGAGGGGCGGAGGAGGAGGGAGGAGGAGGAGGAGGGAGGAGGGAGGAGGGAGGAGGGAGGAGGAGGAGGAGGAGGAGGAGGGAGGGAGGAGGAGGAGGAGGGAGGAGGAGGGAGGAGGGAGGAGGAGGAGGAGGAGAGAGGAGGAGGAGGAGGAGGAGGAGGAGGAGGAGGAGGGAGGAGGAGGAAGGAGAGTGGGGGGGAACAGGAGAGGGCGCGAGCCCCCCGACGGGGGATGCTCGGCCGAACACGAGCACGACCAGGAGGGCAGAAGGGTGGAGGGCGCGCGGGCCCCCGCAAGGGGGCCCCGCGCCCTGCAAGGGCCGGCGCGGTGGGCACCGACGCCGACGCCGACGGTGACGGCGCCGACGACGACGACGGCGCCGACGACGACGACGACGGCGAGGACGCCGACGGCGAGGACGTCGACCACGACGACGACGACGACGACGACGACGACGAAGACGACGACGACGGCGCCGGCGCCGGCGCCGGCGAGGGTGGGGGGGCCGGGAGAGCAGGGGGGGGGAGCACTCTGCATGGGCTCTGCGCCGCGCCGGGAGGGCGCAGGAGAGGCGGCCGAGAGAGGCGGGGGAGGTGCCCAGAAGCTCCCCGCGGGAGCCTGGAGGGAGGTGGGCAGAGGACGACGGGGGGGCGGGGGGAGGCGAGGGGAGGAGGGCAAGCTAGGAGCGCCCGTGCCATATCCGCCATCCAGCCCCTTCAACCCATCCCGTCCACTTGCGCTGCTTTCTCCCCCAGCCATCCTGTGGTGCTGGGTCCTCGTTTTGAAGAGACAGCGCCGCGCGTCCTCTCACCTCCTCCTGCCCTCCACCCCCTCCTCCATCCTCCCTTCCCCCCATCCTTGACGCTGCCCTCCCCAGTGTGCGTCTCTCCCACCCAGCACTTACGGCGCGTCGTGGCCGCACAAGGGGACTCCACCAAAGGCCCCAGTGGCTGCTCTCGCCTGCGGGACCCCAACCCAGCACAGCGCTTCGTGGCCCCATGGGGAGCTCCACCGAAGGCCCCAGTGGCTGCTCTGCCATGCGGGACCCTCACCCAGTACAGCGTTTCGTGGTTCCATGGGGAGCTACACCGAAGGTCCCAATGGCTGCTCTCACATGCGGGACCCCCACCCAGTATAGCGTTTCGTCGCCCCATATGGGGCTCCACCGAAGGCCCCAGTGGCTGCTCTCGCATGCGGAACCTCCACCCAGTACAGCGTCTTGTGGCCCCATGGTGAGCTCGCACCGAAGGCCACAGTGACTGCTCTCGTTTGCGGGCCCCCCGCCCAGCACAGCGCTTCGTGGTCCCATAGGATGCTCCACCGAAGGGCCCGATGGCTGCTCTTTCACGCGGGACCCCCACACAGTACAGCGCTTCGTGGCAACATGGGGAGCTCCACCGAAGGCGCCAGTGGCTGCTCTCGCATGCGGAACCTCCACCCAGTACAGCGTCTTGTGGCCCCATGGTGAGCTCGCACCGAAGGCCCCAGTGGCTGCTCTCGCATGCGGGACACCCGCCCAGCACAGCGCTTCGTGTCCCCATGGGGAGCTCCACCGAAGGCCCCAGTGGCTGCTCTCGCATGTGGGGCCCGGCCCCAGCACAGCGCTTCGTGTCCCCATGGGGAGCTCCACTGAAGGCCCCAGTGGCTGCTCTCGCATGTGGGGCCCGGCCCCAGCACAGCGCTTCGTGGACCCATAGGGAGCTCCACCGAAGGTCCCAGTTGCTGCCCTCGCATGTGAGACCCCCACCCGATACAGCGTTCCGTGGCCCCTTAGGGAGCTCCACCGAAGGTCCCAATGGCTGCTCTCGCATGCGGTTCCCCTAACCAGTGCAACGCTTCGTGGACCCATAGGGAGCTCCACCGAAGGGCCCAGGGCTGCTCTCGCTTGCAATTCTGTCGCCCAATACAGCGTTCAGTGGCCCCATAAGGGGGCTCCTCCGAAGGTCCCAGTGGCGGTGTCCGCATGCGGCTCCCCCACCCAAAACAGCGCTCCGAGGCCCCAGAGGGAGCTCCACCGAGGGCCCCAGCGGCTGCTCTCGCATGCGTTTCTCTCCCGCCCGGTACAACACGTCGTGGCCCCATAAAGAGCTCGCACCGAAGGCCCCAATTGGCTGCTCTCGCATGCGGGACACCCGCCCAATGTGGCGCCTCGTGGACCCCTGGGGAGCTCCACCGAAGGCCCCACTTGGCGGTCTCCGCATGCGCCCCTCCGGCCCCAGTGCAGCGCTCCGTGGCCCCCATGGGGAACTCCTCCGCCGAAAGCCCCCGGGTGGCGGCTCCGCCTCCCTGCGGCACCGCCCCTTACACGCTTCGCGGCCCCAGTTGGCTCCGCGCACAGCCCGGGTGACGGCGCCCACGTGGCGGCCCCCGCCCCACATCGGCACACCCTTCGCATGCTTCGTGGCCCCATGAAGCGATCCCGCGAAGCCGGTACCCGCAACGACGGTACTCTACGACTGGGTCCGTCGCCAGGATAGCTTCCTGCTGCCGAAGCGTGTCATACCATTGCCTGCGATATCCGCAAACGTGCTTTGGCACATTGAGACGTGGAAGAAGTCCAAGAGCTGCCTGGCGAGGATTCTGTAATTCCCCCGTCAGTACTTGTACTGAAAGGGTTCAAGCGGAAATTTAAAGTATTGGCAAACATTTCCCATTGACTTTGGCAGCCGGCTAGGTTCCCGGGTTCCCGGTTCCGATTTCCCAGGTTCCTGGTTATTGCTTCCATGCCGATTTCGGTGGGTTCCCGGGTTCCCGGGTTCCTGGTCGATCTCCTTTTCGGTCCCTTTATCGATCCCACGATTCATTATCGATCTCATGATAGATCTCACGATTCACCTCACTCAATCGATCTCACTGTCGATCCCATCAAACCATCCACTGATTGGGTATTTTCTCAAGTGTAATTAGCCAAAGGGATCCCCCTCCCTCCGTCTCACACAGCGTTGACTGCACTGGCCCCATTCCCGAGGGTCCCTGAGCGGCCATGGCGCCTCCCTGGGCGCTCCAGTGGCGACAGCACGGCCAAAGAAGGCTATCCAAAACGGACCCGGCAGGCCACCAAGGCCACCAAGATGGTCGAAGAGGCCTCCATGACGGCCCAAGACGGCTCAAGACGGCCTCGATAACGCCCAGGGCCTCCAAGGCGTCCAAATAGGGCTCCCGCAGAGCCTCCAGCAAAGCCTGAAGATGCCAACAACATTGGTTTCGAAACACTGTCTGAAAAATTTTCGCACTTTCGCCATGGCGAGCTTTTGCCGGCTCTGAACAGCCCAGGAAGCCTCCGCTATCGCCCATAGACGGCCCAATACGACGACAAGCTGTAAGTGCACATTAACCTCTGAGCAGTAGGCGCACAGTTGCGTTGCATTTTACGTTGGAACTGTACGTTGGATCTTTACGCTGGATCTGTACGCTTGACCTTTGCAATGGATCTTTACGTTGGATCATCACGTTGGATTTTTACGTTTGATCTTCACGTTAAACTTTCAAGTTGGATTTGTACGTTGGGCGTGTACGTTGGATTTCCATGACGGAGTTCCGCGCCGCCTGTTTGCTTGACAACAATTATCTGATCATGAATCTCATCATCCTCGGATCCTCGTGCCAAAACGGCTGTAGTCAGCCACATCGTCAATTCAATCACCCAGCAACGCTATATGTGACATGCACGCACAGCGAAGGGGGCCTCGGGGCTCCAGGGGCCTGAAAGGGCCTGGGAATGCGGGGGTAGAACCAAATCCCCACAAACCTGGCACCGTACGTGCAGTGCCAGGGGCGGCGGCCCGTCTTCCCATCCTACCACCATAGGGGGATGCGAAGTCCCTGAAGACGGGACGGGGTGGGCACGACCGGGCATCATAGCCGGCTCAAAATCAAAAGAGGCATCATAGCCTCATCAATCCAGATTGATCCACTCACGGATCCACTGCAATAGATTTTCATTGAATTCCTTCCATGCGTAGCATGCTCTTCCCTTGCGGGGCCATCAGGCTCCGCGGCTTAGGTTTGCTGCTCCCTGCTCCAGTTCCAATATCCAGTTTCCGATGTTCCAATCATGTGTTCTGCTTCCGACTGTGACTTGTTGAAGTCCGAACGACGGGGGGGGGAACCGAAAAGGGCCATGGCTTTCTTTACTGGGGGGAGCTCACAGAATGTATGGGGGGTCCTGGGTCGCGTAAGAATACATGGGACTCGGGTCCCCGAATCCATAATCCCTGGTACATTACGCCATGGTCGCGCCCCCGAGGCCATCACCGTTCGTAAATCACACAATGCTCACGTCCCCGACGCCATACACCCGTGAGAAATTACGCTGCGTTTGAGCTCGCAACCTGCGGGCATTACGCAACCAGCTGATCCAAGCGCGTATTGGCAACATGTTAACGCGTGCCCCACTTGGAGCCCTGCCAGGCACCTGGGTACCCAAACTGGCCCCCGTTCGGAGTTCCGACGCTGCTTCACGACGGCGCCCAGGCCTCACGACATAGCTCTTGCATGCCCCATTCTCCGAGAGAGGGAGCCGGCGGCAGTGGGCGAAGCCCCGTGCGGATTTCAAGGTTGATGGGGAAGTGGGGGACCCTTCGAACAAAGTGAGCCCTTCGCACGTACGGACGCTTATTTCGCAGCGCACCGCGTTCCCTTTCCGCGCGGTCGTTCGCAAACTTTGGCGCGCGGGGTGCCGGGCTTTCTTTGTTGGGTATTTGTATGGGCGGGCGTATGTTTTGAGAGCGGCGGTTGAGGACCTGGAGCCCTCAACAAGAACCCAATCGGGTGATGCGCAGCCTGCAAAGGGGAGCTGCGCCAGTAGGAGGATGGAATGGCGAAGGAGCACAAGAATGAACAAAATAAGGAACTGAACTTTATACACCGATGCTTTTTTCCGGTCCCGCACTGCGATTCGCACAGGAAAACGGATTCTGGTGTATACGGGATCCTGGTGTACCTATACGACCACCCTGCGGGTGATAAGGAGGTTGGGGGGGGGCCCAGCAATGGGCAACAGTGGTGAATGTTGTTGTGAAAATGCCAGTGGAGATAGTTGCGTTGCCGCTCGCTTTTGGGGTCGTCATCATCATCATCATCATCATCATCATCATCATCATCATCATCATCATCATCATCATCATCATCATCATCATCATCGACATCACCATCAACATCATCATCATCATCATCATCATCATCATCATCATCATCATCATTGTCATCATTGTCATCATCATCATCATCATCAGCATCATCATCATCAACGTCGTCATCATCATCACAATCATCATCACCATCATGGCCATCATAACCATCAGCATCGCACAATCGATCTCACATTCGGTCTCACTATCGATATCACAATCGATCTCACAATCGACGTCATCATCATCATGATGATCATGATGATCATCATCATCATCATCATCATCATCATCATCATCATCAACGACACCAACATCATCATCATCGCCATCATCAACATCATCAACATCATCATCATCATCATCATCACCACCATCATTACCATCATCATCATCATCACCACCACCATCATCATCATCATCATCATCATCATCATCATCATCATCATCATCATCATAATCATCCACGTCATCATTTGGACACCGACGGGACACCGAAGGGACACCAGCGGGACACCGGCGGGACACCGCGCGGCACCGGCCGCCCGGTCAAGGTTCTTTTGCCCCGGCCGCGCCTCAGCCACACGGGACACCAGCGGGACACCGGCGGGACACCGCGCGGCACCGGCCGCCCGGTCAAGGTTCTTTTGCTCCGGCCGCGCCTCAGCCACAGGAGACTATCTCTCGCCCGCCCACGCAGCTTCGCCTCGCCCGCACGGCACGCACGAACACGAAACCGAAATCGATTTCCTGGTAGGGGGGCTCTCCGTTCCACTTCGATCTCACCCCCAAACCTCCAATACATTTTTGTTGTTTCCCCAGGAAAACGGGGGAAAAAAGTATACAGCACACCACCCCGACGTCGTCCCCGACCCTCAGAAAAGTCCTGGGATTGAAAAACGGCCCTCCACTGGTAATGTATAGACAAGAGGAAAAGGAGGATGAGGAAGGAGGAGGACGAACACGGAGAGCAGCAGCAGGCGCTGGAGTGGGCTGCTTGCTATCAGCCTCCTGCCCTGGAGAACGGCGCGCGCTGGGGGCGAAAGCTCGGGCAGGGCAGGCCGACGCGCGACGCCTCGCGCACTCGCGGACTCGCAAGACCGCGGGCGCAGAGGCCAGAGCCTCCAGTTAGGGGGACAAAAAGTGGCATAAACATAAAAACTCTGATGTCCGCGCGGATTTCTCGGATCGGCGCTGGGGCCCCCCGGCGGCGCCTCCGGCGCCGCCCCTGGAGCGCTCCGCGTGCCAGGGAGGGGGGTCCAGCGCCGATCCGAGAAATCCGCGCAGACCTCCGAATTCTTACGTTTATGTAACTTTTCTGTCCCCCTAAGAGCCTCCAGTGGCCACAGCGAGAAACGGAGCGCCCAAAAAAGAGGAAACAACAGCCACCCGCAGACTCGGGTTCCTGCACCACTCCTGGGCCTGCCACGGGCAAGAAACCGGCGAGCACGAGCTGCATGCCGCAGTCCGCTCTCTGAGCCGCGTCCAAGCTCAGCGAAGGACACGCCTGCCTGACCGTGTCGCCCCAGAGTCCACCCGAAGGGCACCGCTTCACCGGGCGACTCCGCACCCCCACGCACGCCAGGGCGGGGCACCCTGGCCGTGGGGGATCCACCATTGAGCCCCCCCCCCGCAGGGGACCCGCCTCCCACCCAGACGTACGCGTGTACGTGCGAGGCCACAGCAAGGGGAGACAAGGCGGCGAGGGGGCAATTCTCTACCCCCTGGCCCCCAACGGGTAAGCGGAAGCGACAGCATTCCGCCAGTTTTCCTGGAAGGGGGACCCAGCGGCACAGGTGCCAGGAGCTGGAGTGGGAGGGGCGGGAGAAGGAGGAGGAGGAGGAGGAGGAGGAGGAGGAGGAGGAGGAGGAGGAGGACGACGACTACGACGACCAAGGGAAGTCGAAGCAGGGGAACGGAGCGGGGCGGCAATGATGAGTTTGCACTGGGATCCCGAAAAGCCCGCCCTGGGGCCAGAGCGCCTGTTCTGACGTTCGGGAGCAAAACGCCGATCCAAAAATGACGCCAACGCTGCAGCGAGAACACCATTTCGAAGGACTGTCAACGCTCAAATGAGTCCAGCGCTGCAGTGGGAGCGACAACACACATAAGAAGTACAAGCCCGCCACTCGCAGCACGTCGTCGGGGGAGAAAGGGGGGTGGTATTCATATTGCGTACCTGCGGAGGGGGAGGAATGGAAGGGGAGGAGGTGTGAGGGGCGGGAGAATGAGATGGAGAACCGCCCAGACTACAAGGCCCCCCCCAGACCATTGGTCGCCCCAGAATTATTGAGACATTCGAAATTAATCGGCTGACCGATCAAGGTTAACGTTGAAGAGACGGCAGGGGGCCTCTAGGGGGGCGGAAGGGATTTTGAACAGTTGCGGCAGTCGGTCTGTGTGCTCCATGAGTACCATCGTCTGAGCGTGCCGGCGACGTCGCTGGGCCGAACGCCATCACCAAGGTTATGCTCGAATGAGTGCGTCCTCGGTGCAATTCGCTCTACGACTGCAGGCTAAAACGGCCGGGACGAAACAGTTCACAATCCGAGGCCCCAGGAGACTCAGGGCCACCTTTCCCCATGGTATCCCTGCTCCTGCCTCTCTGCCCTGCTCTCGCTAGCTCAACCCTTTCTGGGTCAAAGCTGGCCAGCCCGTCTGGGCCCCCCCCCCGCGGGAGGAGGGAGGAGGAGGACGCGGCGGAGGAGGAGGAGGAGGAGGAGGAGGAGGAGGAGGAGGAGGAAGAGTAGGGAGGGAGCGGAGGGAGGGAGCAGGGAGGGAGGAAGGAGGAGGGATGGGAGGAGGGAGGGGGGGAGGGAGCAGGGAGGGAGGAAGGAGGGAGGGAAGGAGGGAGGAAGGAGGAGGGAGGCGGGCGGGAGGGAGGGAGGAGGAAGGGAGGGAGGGAGAGGGAGGGAGGGAGGGAGGGAGGGAGGGAAGGCGGCGGCCGCAAGCAGAAACAAAAAAAACGGCGGACGTGCGGCTCGCAGGCCTGCTGCATCTGCGCCAGCGGCAGGCCGGCGGGCACCGCCGCCGCCTGCGGGGCCCCGGCGAAGGGCGCCAGCTGCTGGCCCTGCGCGGGTGGTGTTGTTGGCTCCTCCTCCTCCTCGTCCTCGTCCTCGTCCTCCTCGTCTTCCTCCTCCTCCTCCTCCTCCTCCTCCTCCCTTCCTCCTCCTCCTCTCCCCTCCTCCTCCTCCTCCTCCTCCTCCCTCCTCCTCCTCCTCCTCCTCCTCCTCCTCCTCCTCCTCCTGCTCCCCTTCCACTTTCCCCCCTCCCCCTCCCCCTCACCCCTCCCCCTCCCCTCCTCTCTCCTCCTCCTCCTCCTCCTCCTCCTCCTCCTCCTCCTCCTCCTCCTCCTCCTCTTCTCCTGTTCCTCCTCCCTCCTCCTCCTCCTCCTCCTCTCCCGCCCCCCACTTCCCCCTCCACTTCCCCCTCCCCCCCCTACCCCCTCCCCCACCCTCCCCCTCCCCCTCCCCCTCCCCCTCCCCCTCCTCCTCCTCCTCTTCCTCCTCCTCCTCCTCCTCCTCCTCCTCCTCCTCCTCCTCTCCTCCTCCTCCTCCCTCCTCCTCCTCCTCCTCCTCCTCCTCCCTCTGTCCCTCTTGTCCTCTCCTCCCTACCCCTCCCCCTCCCCCTACCCCTCCCCCTCCCCCTCATCCTCCCCCTCCTCCTCCTCCTCCTCCTCCTCCTCCTCCTCTCCTCCTCCGCCTCCTCCCCCTCCTCCTCCTCCTCCTCCTCCTCCCCTCCTCCTCCCCTCCTCCTCCTCCTCCTCCCCCTGTGGTTTACCAAGGGGGGGGGGGGGAGCGTTGTTTGCTCACCAGGAAGGCTCCCCCAAAAAAACTCCGATTTGGAGCATGGCGGTCGGGGGGGATTCGGGCACACACCCCGCCCGCCTGTCGCCGAGAGTGCCTTTCCTCACGGGGGGGGTCCCACCTGGAGGAGCATCACCCCGGAACGACTCCGGGGTGGGAGTTCTCACGACCGGCGTTGTCTTTCCGGTTTGGGGCGTCGCTGTTCTTACGTGCTCAACACCAGGGTCGGCGCGTGTCCCACCCGCTCGTCCTCTTCCCGCTTCTCCACTGCGCGTTTAGGTACCACAGTGCCGCCTGCCTGGCGTGCACATTCCAGGGTCTTTTTTTTGTTTTTTTTTTTTGTTTTCAAACGTTCTGGTCGAGCCAAGCGCGACACATGGAAAACTTAGAACGACAAAGCGAACCAACAACAATCATTATAAGACTGTTCGCTCTTACTTGCCCGCGTGTCATTCAAAACGAGTTCCCCACACCCTCGATACGCGCCCTTTTTGACTTCGACCACACCCCCTTTGGGGGGGGTCTTTCTCTTTGCGGGGGTCGGCGGGCTTAGACAGGCGGGCAAACTTGAACGGGCGGACAATCCTTCGTGGGCGTACATGTGCCCGCCATTGGAATTGGTGTGGGCCCTGCAAAAAGACGATGGGGAGAACGAGGGAGAGTGGGAGGAAGGGAGGGGGAGGGACGAAGGAAGAGGGAAAACGCCAGGAGAGAAGGGGCGAAGCGGGGGGCGGTTGATTAGAAGCAGAGAGAGAAAGAGAGAGAGAGAGAGAGAACGAGAAAGAGAGAGAGAGAGAGAAAGACAGATAAAAGAGGTAGAGAAAGAGAGAGAGAGAGAGAGAGAGACAGAGGGGAGAGAGAGAGAGAGAGAGAGAGAGAAAAAAAAAAGAGAAAGAGAGAGAGAGAGAGCAAGAAAGAAAGAAGGAGGGAGGAGGCAGGAGAGGGGAGGGAGAAGGGATGAGGGAGTGGAGGGAGAGGGGATAGGGCAGAGAGGCATAAGGATGAGGGAAGAGAGGAAGGAAAGAGAAGGGAGGAGAGGAGGGAGGAGGGAGAGGGAGGAGGAGCAGGAAGGAGCGTGAACGTTCGAGGAAGTCCTAGGCGAAAACGCCGTTCCTGAAGGAAGTCTCGGGCGGGAGCCCACGACGGGAGGGCGATCCCCTGACGGGCGGGTCGGGCGGTTGGAACATTCATGCGGGATGCCTGAGTATGGCGAGAGCGCGACTACTAAGTAAATTGTAACGGCGTCCTTGGCGCAGCGTGTTTCCTGAGCGTCGAAAGCGCGATTCCGGAACAAATTGCATGGAAGTCACAGGCGAGAGCGCAATTCCTGAAGAAAATGTGAAGGGTTCTCTGGCGGGGGCGGGAGTTTTGATTAAATGTTGAAGAAGTCTCGATTCAACTGCGAGGACACTTCCTTTGGGTGGATAGTAGCACGACAGGAACGCCAGATCATGTCTCCGTCGACGAAACCTCAAACAGAAAGCTCGTCCTTGTAGCTCTGCTTGGCAAACAGGTTCGGGTACCTGTTCCTGTTGAAACAGATCGCTACTCCACATGCTTCGTTGCCGTCGGAGCTGTAGCCGTTGTGCCTCTACATGTGAGAGCTGGTGTGCAAGTGGTTAACATGTTTTACCTTTCGCTGATTTGAACCGCGTGCTTTATAACATGCTACAATTAAGTTTCGTGAAAGCAGCTGTGATATACCGCAGTATGGTTGTCGCCGCCGGAGTGGGAAACTTGCAAGAAACAAAACGAAGCAGGCGCTAGCCTGCAGCTGCCCCTGTGCATCAGCACAACACCTGCTTGGCAAAGTGATGGAGGATCAACATTACTGTGATCTACAATCGCCTGGACGCTTTTGTGCCAGAGAGGCGACTTTGCAACATAGATATAGATTTGTATCACAGATTGATAGGGATCCGCCGTGCCATTGCAATGCGGAGGCTGGGTCACACCAGGATGCGGAATCAAGCAGCGGTGCGGTGTCTGACTCTCAATCGGATCACCGATGGTGTTAACCACATCTGGCTACGACGTCGTAGTTACGGCGACCGCCACCGCGCAAGCGAGCATTCGCGGTTCAAATGTTCTACTGAGTGGAGCGTTGGTTTCAGCTGCAAGCCGCACTGCGCTGCATTATACGCACGTGCCTCGGAACCTTGAGAAATGCTGCAACGCCCGGAAGGATGCTGGCGGGTGGCTCCTGGAACTCTCGTCAGTAAACAGCCGGTGCGGCGCTGGCGAGGGCAGGACTATGCAACAACCAAGAAATCCGACAGGCAAAGGCGAAACCCTACCACATATTCCAACAGACAAATGAAGACAGGTGCACCTAGGGGAAGACATCTACCAGAGAATCCAGCAGACGCCCTCCCAAAACAGGTATGAATCCTCCGACTAGGCAGAGCTCACGGAACTATGCTAAATCGATGTGCGCCGCCATATGCACGTCGTCGTCGTCGTCGCCGCCGCCGCCGCCGTCGTCGTCGCAGTCGCCGACCTTGTGGGGCCTACAGGGTCGGCGGCACTGGCCGTAAGGCCATCGCAATCGATGCGCGCAGCCATATACAAATGTGGGCAACTTTGGTGCTCTTGCGCCGATAGGGCTATAGCACACAACGGGGGGCCGCTCTCTTCGGAAAGACTTGCCTGTCCAATCGTGCCGACAACCGCTCCGACATCTCGCCGATTCCATGTCGCACGTCGAATCTCCGTCGAGTCGACTTGAGCAGGGACCGACCGTCCAGGCATCCCTTCAGTCAGGCCTACCACAAAATTGTCTTAGAACACAATCGTGTTCCAAAAACAGAAACACTGCTCTCAGAACATGAGCCCAACTATTTGAAACCAGAGGGTCTCAGCCAGAGAAGTTCTGAGACCATGTCGTGCAAACCGCAGAAAAGATTCGAACGTTCTCCGTGGGCCTATAGGCAGGCCACGACGCCTTGCCACGGCTTGATCCACGCCAAGCCCGCGTCGAAGCAACTTCTGATCCGGGCCGAATGCGCGGAAGCTGCGCCGGACGCAAGGGAAGACGGCACTTCTCACTCGGGCGCACGCTGACATGGATTTTATATGGCTCCGTGGATCTGGAGGCGCGCGGAGCGGGGAAAGCGACCCCCCGAACCATCAAGCCAGCGCCGCATGACTTGCCCTAGGTCGGGCATGTTCTCCTACAGAGGGATTTTGGAAGGCAGATTAAGAATCTCTACAAACTTGTTTTAAAACATAACCTGGCGAAAGACCCAACCATATGCAGTTGTGAGCACCGTCGTTGTATGCACCGCATTCGAGGAGCTCCCCAAAGGCCCACGAAACGTGTGAGGGGTGTGCCAAAATTCGATTGGGGCCGTCGGTGGAGCTCCCTATGGTGCTGCGAAACGTGTGATGGGTGTGCCGGAATGGGTGCGGTTGGCGCATGCGAACGCAGCCACTGGCGCCTTCGGTGGAGCTCCCTGTGGGGCTACGAAACGTGTGAGGGGGGTGCAGGAATCGGCGTGGGTGACGCATGCGGGCGGTGGCACTGGGGCCTTCGATGGAGCTCCCTATGGAACCACGAAGCGTGTGAGGGGTGTGCCGAAATGGGCGTGCGTGACGCATGCGGGCGGTGGCACTGGGGCCTTTGGTGGAATGTGGGGCCACGAAACTTGCGAGGGGTGTGCCGGCATGGGTGTGCGTAGCGCATGCGGTTGGTGGCACTGGGGCCTCCGGTGGAGCTCCCTGTGGGGCCACGAAACGTATGAGGGGTGTGCCGAAATGGGTGTGCGTGCCGCATGCGGTTGGTGGCACTGGGGCCTTGGGTGGCGCTCCCTGTGGGGCCACGAAACGTGTGAGGGGGGTGCCGCAATGGGTGTGCGTGACGCATGCGTGCGGTGGCACTGGGGCCTTCAGTGGAGCTCCCTGTGGGGCCACGAAACGTGTGAGGGGTGTGTCGAAATGGGTGTGCGTGACGCATGCGGGCGGTGGCACTGGGGCCTTCGGTGGAGCTCCCTATGAGGTTACGAAACGTGTGAGGGGTGTGCCGACATGGGTGTGCGTGACGCATGCGGGCTGCGCCACTGGGACCTTCGGTGGAGCTCCCTCTGGGGCCACGAAACGTGTGCGGTGTGTGCCGACATGGGTGTGCGTGACGCATGCGGCTGGTGGCACTGGTGATCTCGGTGGAGCTCCCTGTGGGGCCACGAAACGACTGAGGGGTGTGCCGGCATCGGCGTGCGTGACACATGCGGGCGGTGGCACTGGGGCCTTCGGTGGAGCTCCCAGTAGGGCCACGAAACGTGTGAAGGGTGTGCCGAAATGTGTGTGCGTGACGCATACGGGCGGTGGCACTGGGGCCTTCGGTAGAGCTTCCTATGGGGCCACGAAGCGTGTGAGGGGTTTGCCGAAATGCGCGTGCGTGGCGCATGCGGGCGGTGGCACTGGGGCCGTCGGGGGAGCTCCCCGTGCGGCCACGAAACGTGTGAGGGGTGTGCCGACATGGGTGTGCGTGACGCATGCCGCTGGTGGCACTGGGGCTCGGTGGAGCTCCCTATGGGGTTACGAAACGTGTGAGGGGTGTGCCGAAATGGGCGTGCGTGACGCATGCGGGCGGTGGCACTGGGGCCTTCGGTGGAGCTCGCTATGGGGCTACGAAACGTGTGAGGGGTGTGCCGAAATGAATGTGCGTAACGCATGCGGTTGGTGGCACTGGGGCCTTCGGTGGAGCTCCCTGTGGGGCCACGACACGTGTGAGGGGTGTGCCGAAATGGGTGTGCATGACGCATGCGGGCGGTGGCACTGGGGCTTTCGGTGGAGCTCCCTGTGGGGCCACGAAACGTGTGAGGGGTTTGCAGAAACGGGTGTGGGTGACGCATGCGGGCGGTGGAGTGGGGGGCGAGGAGGAAAGAAATAACGCGGGGACCGTCTCTTCAAAACGAGGACCCAACACCAGAGGATGGTTGGGAAATAATGAAAACTAGCCTGGCGAAGGACGCAACCACATGCAATTGTGAGAACAGTATTTGTAAATACCGTCGTCGGCGGAGCTCCTCGTGGGGCCGCGAAACGCGTGAGGGGTGTGCCGATGTGGGTGAGGCGGACGCATGCGGGCGGTGGAGGGAACCTCCAGTGGAGCTCCCTATTGGGCCACGAAGCGTGTGAGGGTTGTGCCGAAATGGGTGTGCGTGACGCATGCGGTCGGCGGTACTGTGGCATTCGGTGGAGCTCGCCATAAGGCAACGAAGCGTCACATAACGTGTGAGGGGTGTGCCGAAATGAGTGTGGCGGACGCCTACGGGCATTCCCAGTGGGACCTTCTGTGGAGCTCCGTATCGGGCCACGAAACGTGTGAGGGGTGTGCCGAAATGTGTGCGTGACGCATTCGGGCTGCGCCACTTGGGACCTTCGGTGGAGCTCCCTCTGGGGCCACGACACGTGTGAGTGGTGTGCCGAAATGGGTGTGCGTGACGCATGCGGGCTGCGCCACTGGGACCTTCGGTGGAGCTCCCTATGGGGCCACGAAACGTGTGAGGGGTGTGCCGAAATGGGTGTGCGTGACGCATGCGGGCTGCGTCACTGGGACCTTCGGTGGAGTTCCCTAGGGGGCTACGAAGCGTGTGAGGGGTGTGTCGACATCGGTGTGCGTGACGCATGCGGGCTGCGCCACTGGGACCTTCGGTGGAGCTCCCTATGGGGCTACGAAACGTGTGAGGGGTGTGCCGGCATCGGTGTGCGTGACGCATGCGGGCGGTGGCACAGGGGCCTTCGGTGGAGCTCCCTATGGGGCTACGAAACGTGTGAGGGGTGTGCCGGCATCGGTGTGCGTGACGCATGCGGGCTGCGCCACTGGGACCTTCGGTGGAGCTCCCTATGGGGCCACGAAACGGGTGAGAGGTGTGCCGAAATGGGTGTGCGTGACGCATGCGGGCTGCGCCACTGGGACCTTCGGTGGAGCTCCCTATGGGGCCACGAAACGTGTGAGGGGTGGGCCAAAATTGGTGTGACGACGACGATGATGACGACGACGATAATCATGATGGTGATGATGATGATGATGATGATGATGATGATGATGATGATGATGATGATGATGATGATGATGATGCTCATGCTGATGCTGATGCTGATGCTGACGATGATGATGATGATGATGATGATGATGATGGTGATGATGATGATGATGACGATAAAGATGGTGCTGCTGACGATGATGATGATGATGATGATAATGATGATGATGCTGCTGATGATGATGATGCTGAGGATGATGATGATGATGATGATGATGATGAGGAGGAGGAGGAGGAGGAGGAGGAGGAGGAGGAGGGAGGGGGAGGAGGAGAGGAGAGGAGTGACGCGGGGCGCTGTCTCTTCAAAACGAGGACCCAACACCACAGGATGGTTGGGAAATGCTAGAAAAATCGTCCCCTGACTTTTTTGACTACTTTTGAATACTCCTCCTGTAGAGGGACAGGCTTGGCGACGGAGCGCTCCGATCTTGTCTGGAGGCGGAAGCCGCCGCTGATCCACACGCCTTGACCCCACGTTTGCACTGCCGCGGCTCACGCGTCCAGCCCCGCAGGTGCAACGCAACACCTCCACTCACCTGGAGAGAGCTGTCCGCCGCGAATCGCAATCGCATCCATGCCACGCATCGAATCCGTGCCAAATCCGAGTCGAGTTCAGGGCCCTCTGAGTCAGGAAATGGAAAACCAGGAGAATGGAAAATGTTTCGACCCATGGCCCACGGCTTCAGCTTTCTTGGGCGCGCCAAAGTGCCGGGTTCATGAACGTTCCCATTTAGGGGAGCCCTGGTACGTCGCCGTTCGAGATTAAACGAAACGGCGTGCGCAGGCTGAGGGCTACGCGCAAGATCTCTGAGCCCGGATCAGCATGTCAAATTTCCTTCGCCCACCTGAACTCACCATGTTCCGCCAACGTCCGCTTGCGGACAGATTCGATTCGACCGGGCCTTGCCTTGCCTTGCCTCGCCTTGCCCGCGTCGGAAGCCCTATTGCGAATCCTCGTCGAATCCATGCCGTACGTCGAATCCGCGCCGAATGCGCGTCGGACCCGCGTCGGGTCCGCGTCGAACCTGCGCTGGACGCACGGAACGGCGGCAGCTCCCACGAGGCAAGGTCCCCCGGTGCACGGGTGCACATCACCTCCGATCCCTCCAGAAGGGCGTCTGGGGGCAAAACGATACGAAAGACAGGCTCCGAGAGAGGGAAATATCGATGTCGCACTGGCGATACATCGCCGATCGATCGGCGATAGGCCCAGGAACATGACTCCACACGTTCCTGGGCGGGGTGGGGGCTATCGGGCCCCAGACGGCGCTGACTGGGCGATGGGGGGTCGACGCATTCCCCCCTGAGAGCCCATCCCTCCTCTCGTTGCCCCCGAGGCAAACATCCCCCGAACCTGCAGCGCAACACCCACGCAGCCTCGTCTCTATCGGGGGGAAAAGTACAGTAGGGGGCCCGACCACAAGAAACCTTCCACAAAAAACCCAACCCTGAGACCCCAGGACGTCCACTGATTGTCGGTGTGGGGACGCCACGCTTTCCACAGCAGAGCCAGCGAAACTCCAAAAAGACAGGGCACTCTGGAGGCAAGCAAGGGTGTTTCTTGGCATGGGCCTCCACCGTAGGCGACCGAAACCGTGCCCGAACGACTGCCTCACTGTGACCGACACCGGCGCCCGATGTTTTTCCCGAGCGCGCCAGGGTGGGACCGACGCCCTTGGCTCGAAACTGGCGCGATTCTCAGTTCCGGTCAACCTGTAGTGTTCTTGCCAAGGGCTCCTAAGTTCGCGCTTCGCGCTGCGCGAAGCGCGGAGCGCGAATAACTTCGCGCTCTCGCGCCGCCCTCCCAAAGGGAGAATAGGAGGACGAGGAGGAGGGGGAGGAGGAAGGAGGACGGCGAAGCGCGAAGCGCGAATAACTTCGCGCCCTCGTGGGAGCCCTTGTCTTGCATGTCCCCCACCCGTCGGTCGGAAGAAGCAGGTCGACACACGAAGCAGCAAGGCGTTGAGGACAGATCGGGTTTCCGCCCGCCCCCCGAAGCGCACGGAGGAGGCGAAAAGCCACTCGATCATGGAAGAAGGAAGGCGCCTAAAACAGACTGGAACCTGGGAATCCCAGAAGACCGACTCTCAAAGACCGACATTCGGCGGTGGACAAACCTCCCTTCAGTAAACCTCCCTTTAGTGAAAACGGCCTGGGACCGAAACCGACGGACCTGGAGACGCAAAAATGACGGCCGCGACGCCCTCTCGCGAACCGAAAACGGCCAATTCGCTCATCGACGTGTCTGGGTGGAAGGTCTGTCCACACCCGAGATGTGCGCCTCTTCGGCTGACGGGGGCCGGGACCCGGGACACCACCTCCGCTGTCCTGGAAGAGAGCGCCCGCCTGTGCCGCCAGCGTCTGCTGCAGCTGGCCGAACTGAGCGAGCCGAGCCTCGCCTCGGGGCGTCAGGAGGAGGGGGAGGAGGAGGAGGAGGGGGAGGAGGGGAGGAGGAGGAGAGGAGGAGGAGGAGAGGAGGAGGAGGGAGGAGGAGGAGGAGGAGGAGGAGGAGAAGGGGAGGAGTAGGAGGAGGAGGAGGAGGAGGAGGAGGGGGGAGGAGGAGGAGGAGGAGAGGAGGAGAGGAGGGAGGAGGAGGAGGGGAGGAGGGAGGAGGAGGAGGAGAGGCGGGAGGAGGAGAAGGAGGAGGAGGGAGGAGGAGGAGGGAGGAGGAGGAGGGGGAGGAGGAGGGGGAGGAGGGGGAGGAAAAGGAGGAGGAGGAGGAGGAGGAGGCCTCCGTTCCAAGAACTCCGCGCGGCACTGCAGCAGCTTACGGTCGGTAGCTCTCGCTCGGCACGTCGCGGCGGCGGCCCCGCCGGCACGCTGTGCCTTGTGGGGCTGGACGCGTGAGCCGCGGGCAGCTGTGTGCGTGTGGCTCCGCCTCGCGGGCTCAGGAGGCTCGCGGGCTCGGGAGGCCTACGACGTGGCGGCTCGGGGGCGGGGAGGCGGACAGCGTGTGGCACCGAAGCGCGGCGGGCCGGAGCCGGCGGCGAGACACGCGATCCAAGATCGGGGGCGCGCAGACACGAATCGGCGATCCAGGGGTCTGGCGCGCGGTCGCCAAGTCCATGGATCGGGGGAGGTGCCCTCCCCAAAATGCGGCTGGTGCCGCCTCGGTCGGCGGCTGAAATCCGCGATTTCCCATGGAAACGGGACCCGTCGCTAATCCACGCCTCCTTAATCCATTTTGTTTGCGATCGCCTGACAAAAGCTACTCTGAGTACCTCAATATTTCTGGGCCCCCGGACTACGAGGGCCGCCCAGACTACTTGACAAAGACCCCCTCCCGGACTACAAGGGCCAGCTGGACTACAGGGACTCCCCCCCGGCTGGACTACGGGGACTCCCCCCCGGACTACAAGGACCCCCCCCGGACTATACAAGGGCCCCCCCCCCCGGACTAACTACAAGGGCGACTCCCCGGACTACAAGGACCACCCCCCCTACAGCCACCACACCCAGCACAAAAGCTAAGGGATGTCTGGCCCTTTGCATGGGGCGCATGTCCGCAGACGTCGAACGGGACGTCGCCCCGCGAAAATCACAGTGCCACCCCCCGCCTCCCCGGGCTACAGGAAGCCCCCCCAGACTCCAAAGGCCCCCCCCCCCCCGGACTGCAAGGGCCCCCCCCCGGACTGCAAGGGCCGCCCCCCCGGACTACAGGAGGCTCCCCACGGACCCCCACCCTGCAGACTACCCTGACCTTCCAGGACTTCCAGGAGAGCTAAAAAATACCACCCGACTTAAAAACCTACCCCAAAGCCTTGGTTATAGGCGGTTTCGCTCAGCTTTTTAGGTTTTCAGGTCACCAGTGCTAAAGAATAGCTCTCTGGAAGGTCAGGGTACAGGGCCCCCCCAGACTATCTGCCACAGAACTAATCGAGGCACTCACAGAGCACTGCAGCGCCCCCTTTCTCCGACCAGGTACGCTAACGAGCGAGGGAGCTGTTCTGGCCTGGGCGAGCCGCGGCCCACGAGTGGGCTGCCCGGCCCGGACACGAAGAGCGGCCCGGAAACCGGGGCCCCTCCCGAGCCCCGAGTGGTCCTGATGTCAGCGTCTTCCCTGACCTTCCAGAGAGCTATGTTTTAGCACGGGAGGCCTACAGACCTAAAAAACGAAACGAAACAGCCTGAAACCAAGACATAGAATAGCTCTGGGATAGATTTTTAAGTCGCGTGCTATTTTTTAGCCCTCCTGGAAGGTCAGGGGAGCCCCGAGTGGTCCTGATGTCAGCGTCTTGACTGTAGCGACGAGCCGACCTCGGGCGCAGGACTCCCTTCCCCCACCCACCCCTTCCCCCGTCCTCCTGCTCCTCCGGGTGCTCCTCCCCCAAGTCCAATATTCCCCCTGCTCGGCGAAGGAGCTCGTCGCGACGGGACCGAGGCTGGTTCTATCCTGCTGTACGCAAGTATATAAGCAAGCGGAATATATCCGCCTGCTCCCCCTCCTATTCTTCGCCCCTCGCCTCCTCCTCCACCTCTTGCGTTCTGCTCATCCGTCTCATCATCCCTCCCCCGCCTCCTCCTCATTCTCCCCGCTGGCAACACCGTGCTCCCCTCCTGCTGCTCCTCATCCTGATCACCCTCGTCCTCTTCCTCCTCCCCCATTAATCGGCAGCGCGCCACCGGCGATGCATCGCCTGTGTCGGCGATGCATCACTGGCGTCCACGTGGATGAAATCGGGCTCCACATCCAGCCGCACAGCTAATGTATCGGCGATACGGCGCGATCCTCCGAACCCATCTACTCGGATCCTATCTGGGAGGCCTAGACTGCTCCGCTCGAGATGGGTACGGGAATAACGGGCACGAAAACCGACAGCACTTCCCTTCCATTTTGAACAGGGTTCGCTGTCGGTGTCGCCGCGGACGCATCCATCGAAGATAAAAAAGTCGCCCGCCTGACTAACAGCAGCGGCTGTCGATTTTGGGACAGCATCTGCTGCTGGGCAGCGCACCCACTTCCTCCGTACCAAGTCTGGGCGTGCCAAGCTCCTCTGGGGAAACCAAGGTATCGATTGCTCCCTGGACCTCTCCCAGGGTGCGCTCTGACCACACTTCCGAGGCGAATCCAGCCGTGGCGACGAGGGCCTCCCAGGAGGCCAGAAAAGGGGAAACGGGCGAAGGGTAGCGGAGGAGGAGGAGGAGGAGGAGGAGGAGGAGGAGGAGGAGGAGGAAGGGGCGAAAAGAAGGAGGAGGAGGAGGAGGAGGAGGAAGGGGCGAAAAGGAGGAGGAGGAGGAGGAGGAGGAGGGAGAACGAGAAGGAGGAGGAGGAGGAGGAGGAGGAGGAGGAGGAGGAGGAGGAGTGTAACTACTTTTTACCTCCTCCGACGTTCGGGCGTGCCAGGCCTCCTCCTCCTCCTCCTCCTCCTCCGGTCGGGGTGGCAGGGCAGCGGAGCCGGCGGCGGCCGCCGCGGGACGCGGACGAGCGCAGAGGCCTCCCAGAGGGGTCGGAGCAGGTGGGGTCGGAGGATCGCGCCGCATCGCCGATGCCTCGGCGACGCACTGTCGATGCATCCGCGACGTCGGCGATGCATCGGAGACGTCGGCATATAGAGAAGATGTGGCTCCACATCGAGCCGCATCGGCAACGGATGGCGATGAGGTGCGATCCACCGACGTCCTGGAGGCCATGTTGGGCGTCTTGGAGGCCACCTGGGCCGTCTTGGAGGCCATGTCGGACGTCTTGGAGGCCATGTTGGGCGTCTTGGAGGCCATGTTGGGCGTCTTGGAGGCCTCTTGGGGCCCCACCTGCTCCGACCCCGTCTGAGAGGCCTGGAGGCAGATCGGGCATGTCCTTCTACAGGTGGAGTTTGGATGAGAAGTTTGAAAATACACAGGAAGATCAGATACAGCAAAACAGACCAAGAAATCGTCCCCAGACTATGTTACAACCATTTTTTGAGATTCCCCCTGCAGAGGGACATACCCGATCTGAGCCTAGACGCAGGCAGGCTGGGGCACCCGCCGTTCGCCGGCCGCAGCATGGGCAGCCTCGCCTCGCGGGTGGGGGGCGCCGGACCCGCCCCCTTCGCCCCCGCGCCGCCGCTCGCCGTCGTGTGCAGGCGGAGGCAGGCACCCTTCAGAGGCTGCAGGAGACGAGGCCAGGACGAGGAGGAACCTTCGGGCGAAGATGCACGTCGAGAATATCTCTGAGATCCTGCGGCTCTGGAGGAGGGCTCGGGCGGCTCCAGCCTTCTCATAGCGCTCCTGGGATGCTCCGCGAGCGTCCAGGAAGGCTCTGGAACGGATTTGTTCTCCTCGTCCCAGCCGCGTCCGACATGCGGGGCGTCCGGTGGCCACCTGGGCACACAGTGTCCCCCTACAGGCGGATTCTGGAGAAAAAAAGAAACATAGTCCAAACATACGCAGGAACAGTCGAACAATCATAATCAAAAAATCGTCCCCTGATTATTTTTTTGACCATGTTTGAATATTCCTCCTGTAGGGGGACACGCACGACTTAATGCTGGTGGGACGCGCCCCAGCTCCATACGCAGCCTGGGCCCGCCTCGTCACAGGTGCCGAAGGCGGGGTGTAAGGGCGTGCTCCGCCTGCGCTTTGCACAGGTGGCCGCCGATGCCGCACACCCGGGGGGGGGGGAGGCTATGGGGCCAGAGGAGCGTGCTGGCGGGTGCACACTCCAGGAGCGGGCTTCATCTGCTTGCGGGAACAACGCAAGCAATTCGGACATTGCCAAAATCGGCCTACCCAGGCCCACTCGTGTGACGGGCTGGCAGGCTTGGAGACTCTCGGCGGAGCTTCCGCGCGAGGCACACCTTCGAGGTTGGTCCTGGGCCAACGCTCGAGCAATTTTGCAGCTAATTTGAAGACGGCCTTTGCCGTGCGGATCGCGTGGTTGAGATTCACACGATCGTCAGCATTTTCAATCTTCATGCAACCGCGCACCTGCTTTTGCCGCCTCGTCGGCAGCGTTGTTACCAATGATGTGTCGGCGCTCCAGTTCCGAAAGATCAGGGTCGTCCGCTCTGCGTGCCTTGACCTTCTGGACCGAGCGCAACATGTGATTCGCAAACGCGTAGCTCTGCATAACCAACCCGCTGTAGGGCCGATTGGGCGACAGGCACTCGACAGAAGGCTTGCTGTATTCTCCAACGACGGCAGCACAATCGCTGAAAATGTCAGAAGCACAGGTGAGGAGGCTGGCGGCACTGGTTGGCGCTGCAAACTCCGCGGCAACAGACGTCTGAGGATAAAAGCTGCCCATCCCGCCGTACATTTGAGCAAGGATCTTACCCGAAGGACCAAGACTCACAACTCCCCACCCCGAGCGGGAAAGACCCTTGATCGACGACCGCAAACAGGAGCCGTCCGTGTAGAGGTCCCCTCCTAAAGCCCTCACCCCCTCGGAAGGAACTGGTAACCCCTCAGCCTGGTACGCTTCAGGGAAGACCTGGAACACGACGCTGTCCAGAGCTTGCTCCTGGGACAGGGGGCCTGGAGCCCAGAGGGACGGGCGCGGGAAAAGGCCCGTCTCGCAGACCAACTTAAAGCTCGGACTGGGATCGGCCGAGAGCTCCGCACGAATCTTGGCGAGAAGACGCTCACCAACAATCTCCACTCGATCTGCCTCGCATTCAGGACAGAACCGAAGCCTATGCAGAATCGTGTCTCCTACCTGGCCGCACAGATAGCACTCGTCATCTACACAGTAGCCGAGGGCGGCTGCACGGCTGAGCGGCCACACAGCCTGACAGATCAAGGCTTTGATGGCACCTTTTTCCTCACGGGTAAACTTGGAGGGCGCCAGGGCCGCATCAGCCAAATCGAAACAGAGGCGGGTCCCGTCGAGGTACCTGTTTCCAGCCTCGATTTCTAAATCCCGTAAAACCGCACTCTTTAAACATCTCTTCAAAAGGGCAGGGGAGGTGAGCAGGAGGGGAATCTGCACATCTCTGTCGTCCGTCATCGTGAAAGGGTCAGTCATGTCCCAGCCGAGCCGTTTCAGGGAGAGGTACATGGCCCCGACGGGGCCCTTGCAAGATCTCCAGGTTCGCGGGGGTCGGGCCCAGACTGCGGACCAGGCTTCACGAATTTCGTGCCAGCTGAGCGACCAGGGAGCCCTCGTCTGCAGCAGCCACAACTCCTTGCAATACCGAATGATGGGTGCAACAGATCCGTACCAGGCTGGGTCTTTTTCGAGACGGGTGAGGATCGTGAGCGAGCGTCCCCCGCAGTTCGGCTTCATGGTGGAAGCAGCCAACTTACGGATCTTGTGCACTTCACCCTCGGACATGCCGTGGACCTCAGCACCGTACTGAGCGCCTGCCAGCGGCCCAGAAACAAACACCTTAGTAGCGCGAGAGCCCAGCGTTCCACGCTGGCGAACTAAGCGGCGGGTCCTACGCACCGCAGCATTCATCCTGGTCTTCGCCTTAGCATTTCGCCCCCTAACCCTCCTGGAAGTCCCTGGAGTGAAATCGATGCCGAGGTTAACCGTGGTTTCGCTGTGGGGCCCAACGAGATCTCCAAAGACTTGGGAGAGCCTACAAGAAATGTACTTGGAAGACGAGACCATGGCTGTCTTGTCCAAAGAGATCTGGGCACGCATCATAACAGTGATGGCGTGCTGCAGGGTAGTAGCTCCGCCCTGCAGGCTGGTGACTATCTGTTCGGCCGTGCCGACAGCGTTAAGGCCAGAATCGTCGATGTTGACATCATGGGTAGTGCTCGGACCCAGGACCACAGAGTCGAAATATTCAAGCCCAAAAACCCTGATCATCGTCGTAGCGATCGAGCAGCCCGCTATCACACCGTGATCTCCAAACACTGGGGGAGCCACGACCCCGAACAAAACCATAAAACGAGCCGATCGGTATCCAGCCAGACAGACCGCCATCAGCACAGGAGGAAAATTAAGCCTCTGGCCGCGCGACTCCAGCAGGGCCAAAGGAATCTGCTCGTAGTATTTCAGCATATCGTAAAAAATAGCACCGGCGTGCTGGCCTGAAGACGTGCTGCGCTCAGCCGAGACCGACTGGCGCCAAACCACGTCCGATGCCGACCTATGCTTCCCCGCGGCCCAGTAGGGCCTGTCGTTGGCTTCCTCCCAGGCCACAGCATAGGGCCTCCGAATGCGGCCCCAGATGCGAAAGGGGCTCGAAAAAACCCCGATGGGGCGGAACCCAGGGACCGACTTCGGGATCATGGCCATGATCAAGGCCCGAAGTTGTCTTGGAAGCATACCTGCCGACTCGACGATCACGAACAGCCTCCCTAGGCACTCCAGGGACGCGTCGGAGAGAAACTGGTAGTGCCGAAGGTGGAAGCCGTCCAAGCCGACAGCCGAGCGCCTCGAGTAGGACCGCGAGGCCATGCGAAACTCGTCCACTGTGATCTGCGGCAGTGGCTCGAGCTTGCAACACCGAAGCCGAGGGGGGACATCCACTGCCCGCCACAGCTTGCCAAATCTGTCACTCTCTTGCTTCAAGAGGGCCTGGGGGTCGCTAGCCAGGGCCCCAAACCGACTCAAGGTGGAGGTGGGCCTCCGGGCCGCGGGGTCCTTGGAAACCTGGTGGGCCCGACGGGCTCCCTGGTTGATCCCGTCCAGGAGCCAGGAGGCCCAATCGGACCTGGCGATTTTGGAAAATTCCTCGGAACAAAGTCTGTTGGCCTCTTGAAGCTGTGTATGAACCGAGTCCAGGCAGGCCTTACACTCGTCGGGGTCCACGCCCCACAAGCAGGCCACAGAGGAAGCGGCGGCGTACGCAGCGGCGTAGCTACCTTGGTGTTCCGCCACAAAAGCAGGGGGCGAAGCCAGGGCAGCCTGCACCTTAGCGAAATCCGAGGGATGCTTGTCGGGGCCCGACAGCACCAGACGATAAAAGATTAAGAAGTTAGACCAAAGCCATCTCATGCTGTGGAGCACAAGGTAACGGACCGAGCCGTGGTCGCGACCCAGGACGGGCCTCCACCACATCTCAACTCCTCTGCCCCGTGCCCCAAAGTATGGGATGGACGTGCCCATCACATTGCACAGTTCTCGCTCGGCCGTGTTGGCCCATAGCTTGTAGGCAGCAGCGAGAAGAGAGTCCAGCACGTCAACATCCCCCCTCTGGGCCCTAACCAGGGCCTTGTCCAAAAGGGCCGAGCACTTACCGTAACACGGGGGCTCGGGCGAAGGACCGATCGGGGCATCCACAACGATCGGGGGGGGCTTGCGAAACGAGAGGACGTGAAGATTGGCAATTCCGACGTGGAATTGGATCCGAACGGGCAGGTGGGGGTGGAACGTGCTCCCAAAATTCTTAGAGACTGAGCTGACGGCCTTCGCGAGGCCGCCCGACAGAACGAAGAAGTCGTAGCACTTGGGATCTCCAGTGCCGCAACGCGTGGGCCCGTCCGCCGCCGCCAACTGGCCCCTGAGATTGTGAACGAACTCGCTCTCGTGGAGCGTGGGCGGCTCGAGATTGAAGTCGCCGCCCGTCAGGAAGGGCACCCCAGAGGTCGAAAAATGAGCACCAAGGGCCCCAAGGATGTCGAGGTTCGCTTCACTGAGCCCTTCAGAGTCCCGAAGGTAAAGAGAGGAGGGGAGGATGGCCTGGCCCTCTGGGGGGTGGACAACTCCAACCACAGCCCTGCGGGGCCAAAGCTCAGCAGGGCCCAAACTATGCAAGCCTAGCCAGCTACGGGCCAGGATGGCGACACCACAGGAGCCCCCCCTCCCCCCTCTCCAAGGGTTCCTGGGACCCAGAGGGATTTCCAGCCGTGCCTGAAACAAAAAGCTGATGCCACTTCGATGGCATCCCCAGCCTGGAGCTTGTGCTCCTGGACGAGGAGAACGTGGGCCGAACACCTGGGAAGCCGGTCTCTCACCGACGACCAAGCGTTGCCGTTGACAGTTTCCACGGCCAGGGAAAATTCTCCCGAGGGGGGGGGGCATCGGGGACTGCTGGGCAGCCACGAGCGTCAACTCCAAGATTCCAAGCATCTCGCCGTGCAGCCAGGGGAGTACGATGCGCCCCCTGAATTAACATCGTGCCACCGCTCGCATGAACTGGCAAAATTACACGAGCAAGATTCTTCACGGACGGATTGGAGCAACCGTGCTGCGGAGCCGCCGAGACCGACGGCACCGAACCACAACGAGGAATACGTGAACTGGGGCCGAACAGAGAGGAGCCAGGCGTGCAGCAGAGCTTGACCCTGTCAAGAATGGCCGAACAAATTTCCGATTCGATGCCCCCCGCTTCACATCGAGACGTCAAGCGGGGGGCCGCCTTTGCCAGACACCTTGTTGGCTGCCAGAGCGCGCGCTGCCTCACGCATCTTGGCCAGGTCAGGCGGTGGAGGTGCTGCCGAAGATCCACTGGCAGCCTGACCAGTGCCTGCAGTAGATCCCGTCGACGGAGCCGAAGGAGCCGACGTCGGAGCTGGCTGAGCTGCTGGTTCAGCTTGGGCTGCCTGTCCAGGAGCGGGAGCGCCATCAGCAGGTTGCCCTTGCCCATCAGCTTCAGCAGCATGAGCTCCGTCCTCACCTCGACGACGCTTGGCCTTGAGGCGTTGGGTCTGCTCCACGTGCGCCGCCTTGGCTGCCTGCACCGACTCCATCGCCTTGGCGAAAAGGTCCTTGGCCATGGTGTTGAAGCCGCTGACCAGCTGCTCCTTCCGCCTGTTGACCTCCACAATGTCGGACTCCTCGAGCGTGCCGACCTCGGGGTCGATGTCCAGCAGGTCGCCGACGTCCAGCTCGAAGGCGTCGATCTTGCCTGCCAGGAGCTCGGAGAGCGACACGACAGGTTTGCTGGCGTCGGGGTGCTGCTTGCGCAACGAGTGTACCTTCTCCGTGAGCTCGTCGTGCTTGGCGTCCAGGCCGTCCATCTCCTTGTTGATCTGGACGATGAGGGACTCCTGAGCGGCGACTTTGAAGCGAAGCTCCTCGAGATTGCCGAACTCCCAAGACAACTTCTTCCCCAGTTTGAGCCGCTCGCGCTGGCAACGTGCGAGCTGTTCTTCAAATGACTCCTCAGCCTTGGGCGGCTTCTTGAGCGCAGCCAGCTGTACTTGGTAGCGGTTGGCCTCCGTCGTGTTGCCCACCTTGCGGAAAAGCTCGACGAAGGTCTCCAGCTCTTGAACCGACAGCTGGGTGACGTTGGGAGGAGGGCCAGGATGAACCACTCCTCCTTGCGGACCTGGGACCAGGGCGGGGGTGTAGAAGTAGCCAGGTGGTGTCCACGCAGCGCCTCCGTGCCCCTTGCCCTTGCCCTTGGACGGCTTACCTCCGCCCGTGTGCACGCCCTTGCCGTTGCCGCCGCCCTGGAAACCCTGATACTGCAGCCCTGGCGAGAGAGCGGGAAGCAGGCCTCCAACAGCAGCGTTCTGAGCCCAAACGCCAGCAGGAGGAGTGGGATCAGCAACCTTCGGGGCGTTCCAGGCCGTGCCGCAGTGCTTGCAGACGTGGCTCGCCATCTTGTTCTTTGCGCAGCCGCATGAACTGCACTTCCATGTATTGCTTCGCTGGAACGGTGGGCCTTGGCGCCAAGGGGAGTCTGCGAAGGCATCTCCCGCGGGCCCTGGGCTCATCCGCGGCCGAGCGATGGAGGGGGTGCGGCCCCTCGGCCTGAATGAAAGCTGAGGACCGACTGCCGTGAAGCCAGAAGGCCCGCAACAGCAATGCCGTTCTGAAATACGCGGTTGCAAGTCCAGGCACAACACCTGGGCCAGAACGGCTCAGGGGGGAGGAAGAGGAGGACCAGGAGGAGGAGGAGGAGGAGGCGGAGGCGGAGGCGGAGGAGGAGGAGGAGGAGGAGGGGGAGAAGAAGGAGGCGGAGGAGGAGGAGGATGAGAAGGAGGAGGACCAGGAGGAGGAGAAGAAGGAGGAGGAGGAGGAAGAGTCGGAGGGGGAGGAGGAGGAGAAGTAGGAGGAGGAGGCGGAGGAGGAAGAGGAGGAGGAGGAGGAGGAGGAAGGAGGAGGAGGAGAAGGGGTGGGGTGGAGGAGGCGGAGGCGGAGGGAGGAGGAGGAGGAGTAGCAGGAGGAAGAGGCGGAGGAGGACCAGGAGGAGGAGGAGGAGGTGGAGGAGGAGCAGGCTGACGAGGAGGATGAGGAGGAGGACGAGGAGGAGGAGGAGGAGGAGGAGGAGGAAGAGGAGGAGGAGGAAGAGGAGGAGGAGGAGGAGAAGGAGGAGGAGGCGGAGGGAGAGGTCCTCCCGCCTTCCTCCCTCTGGAGGAAAAGCACCCCCCCAGAGCGAACGGGCTCTGCACCAGAGGCAGGGCACCGCCCTCGGCCCCCGCCACCTGGAACGCGGACTGCGGCGGCAGGGTGCGCTCGAGGGCCTCCTGCGAGCGGGGGGCGGCACGACTTGCGAGGGTCCTCCCTCTCCTCCTCCTCCTCCTCCTCCTCCTTCTCCTCTCCTCCTCCTCCTCCTCTTCCTCCTCCTCTCCTCCTCCTTTCCTCCTCCCCTTCCTTCCTCCTCCTCCTCTCTCTCCTCTCCTCCTCCTCTCTCCTCCTCCTCCTCCTCCTCTCCTCTCCTTCCTCCCATCTCCTCCTCCTCCTCTCCTCCTCATCGTCCTCCTCCTCTCCTTCCTCCTCCTCTTCCTCCTGCTGCTCCTCCTCCTCCTCCTCCTCCTCCTCCTCCTCCTCCTCCTCCTCCTCTCCTCGTCCTCCTTATATTCCTCCTCATCCTCCTGCTGTGAACCCTTCTCGCCTCCTCATGCCCCGCGCACCCGCGCTCCCCGCCCTCCATCCGTGCAGAGCCCCATGATCCTTTGGCTATGTCGGGCGTTTCCCCCCACAGGGGGATTTTCGACGAAAAATAAGAGATACCCTAAAAGTACCCCCAAAGGGTCAAACAATACTCAAACATTGTCCCCAGACTATTTTTTTACTGTTCCTGGGGTACTTTTCTTTTTCGTCGACAATCCCCCTGTAGGGGGACAGGCCCGACTTTCAATCCTCGGGGAGGCCCTCCAGCAAGAACCTCTCCGCATGCGAAACCTCCCCAGAGAGGCACGACCCCGGGCCTCTCGAGCTCCCTCCCGCAGCCCCTCGGGATGGCCCCGCACCGCCTCCTCCTCCACGGGTGACGGACGCCGCTCCGAGGCCGCAGCTGGGGCAGAGGGCGAGCTCAGAGAGCGGCAGCTCAGCATCGGTCCCCGGACCCCTTCCCGGGGTCCGAGCGCAGAAGTTATCCCCAGCTGCGACGTGGCCAACAGGGCCCTCCCGGAGGCGAAATGCCGTTGTCTCCACTCGCCGCCCTCTGAGCAAACGAAGCCACTCAGAGCCGCCGCCCCCTCCTGCGCATCGCGGTCCCGGGCTGTAGGAGGCCAACAAGCACACACACACACACACACACACACACACACACACACACACACCGCGACGCCGCTAGCAACAAAGACAAACAAAGCAATAACGCTCCTGCGGGTGCCCCCCTGCACGCGTCGCTGACAGAAGCCCTGTCTACTTAACTGTCAGGCGCGCGAACTCGGCGCATGCGCGTGGCCATCCTGCCGCTCCCAATATGGCCCCACTGAGAAAACGGCAGCGGAAGCGTTCGACGCGATGTCTTCCAATGCCCCCTTGGGGGCCTTTTGGGCGCCCCACGACGGTCCCAACGGACCCCAGGAGGGCCCCAAGAGAGCCGCAAAGAGGGTTCCAAGAGAGTTCCCAGTGAGCCACCGCTCCAGTGAGTTCCAGAGAGCCCCAAAAAGGTTCCAAGAGAGTTCTCGACGGGATGGATTTCGAAGCGATCATTTCAAGTTTCCCCTTGGAGGCAGCTCAAAGAGTGCCACCAAAATGGCCCTGAGGAGCCCCAGGAGGGCCCCAGGAGAGCCGCGAGAGGTCATTGCACCGGCCTTGCAGACGTGCTGCAGCGGATTTCTGCGTGGATTTCTGCGCGGATTTCTGCCCGAAACGGCGAGCGAAAAAGGAAGTGAATGTCGGGTGGATTCTTTTTGATCTTCTTTCCTGCAGGCCAGAGAAAATCCGCACGGAATTCACTTCGAAATCCGGAACGCACTTCTCCAGGACGCTCCGGGCCCACCCTGTCGGCTTCCGAGCGACATCCGCTCTGCGATGTTGGCGCCATGCCGAGAGGGCGCCAAGACACGAGAGGCCCCAGCGAGCCCCTGCGGTCCCACTCCACGGCGCTGGGTCTGGTGCGACTGCTGTCCCAGCGCCCGCTGGGACTCTCCTGGGGGCCCCCCGGGGCGGCCCCATGGAGGGGCCCACGAAGGCGACCTTCCAGAGAGCTATCTTTTAGCACGGGAGGCCTACAAACCTACAAGACGAAACGAAACCGCCCAAAACCAAGAGAGAGAAGAGCTCTGGGACAGGTTTTGAAGCCGCGTGCAACTTGTTTGTCCTACAGCTGGAAGGTCAGGGATGGAGGGGCCCACGAAGGCCCCGTCGGGACCGCGAGAGGGCTCCGGGCGGGATCCCGGGAGTCAGCACTCCCGGGAGCCCGAACTTGACTACCTACCAGACCACCCCAACCCAACCCGAAGATCCAAATTTCGGGTTGGGGGGGGTAAGGGTTCCACATGTGTTTTTTCGATGTTTCCCGACCCCCCCCCCCACTGGAAATCGAGGGTAAATTTGAGCCTTCGGGTTGGGTTGGGGTGGTTTGGTGGGTGGTGAGAACTTATACAGCACCACGGCGGCGGATGCCTCGCTCCCCCCTTCCACGCGCGCCCGCTCGAAGACCGCGCACGCGCACCCCAGGCCCTTGCATGGCAGCTGGCGCCGGAGCCCCAGGAAAATCGTCGGGGATCCTGGAGGGACCCAGCAGGAACCGAAGGAAGCTCCAGGAATCCCCGGGAGTCCGGGGGAATCCTCAGGAACCCCCAAGGAGTCCTGAGGCTTCTCGAGAACCCCCGCGAGTCCTGAGGAGGCGTTCCGGCCTCCCCAAGAAGCATGGAATCCTGGGGGGCCTTCAGGAATCCGAAGGAATGCCGAAGGATTTTGTTTAGGAAGCCTGGGGATCGCGGAGGAATCCCATCAGGGTGCGCTGCCCCGCGCGTGCACCACGGACGGTTGTTGAGCCGTTTTGTTGCTGCAGGTACGCCGCGTGAGCGCCGTGTGCTTCAGCCCGCCCTCGTGCGAGAGAGTGCGGCGGTTCTGCTGCAACGCGCCCCTCGCGCACACGAGAATGTTACTGCGCTGAGCTGCCCCGATGCGCAACACGCAACACGTAGCGTATGGGTACGGCGCTCGACACGTGGGCTGAAAACGCAGGCCCGACGCGATACGTTCGCCGAGACGCGGGCCAATACGCGGAGCCAACACGCAACGTATCGACACGGACGTCTTGAACACGGGACGTGTTGCGTTTCGAAACGGGCGTGTCGAAGCAACTAAGTTACTGCGTCACGCAAACGTGACAAGAATGCTACAGTCTCAGATCTGCGCAACTGGGCAGCAAATTGCTGCGAATCTACTGGATGAGCGAAACATCGTCTTGTCACATTCCCCCCGATACACGAAGAACAATTTGTGCGTCATTAAACCGTCCCGTGCGCACGGGGACGTCGTCGCTACAATCCCCAAGCACAGAAGGCAGTTGTTGCTTCGATCCCCTCTTTTGGAAAAGAAAACAACTTCGCTACACTCACCCTTTTTGCTGCATGCACTTGACGACCAAGAGGCAAATTTGGCCACCATCCTCCCTCATTCGCTCATTCGCGACGGACCGTTTTCCTTATAACCTCCACCTCCATACACGATAGACCACTATTACTGAAGCCATCATGTGCGAGGATCCGTGATTGCTGCACTCCCGCCTTATCTGCGAGGAGCGGTTTTGCAACAATCCCCCCCGTGCAACAGGGGCCGTTTCTGCTGCAATCCCCGCTCGTGCACGAGGGACAGATGTTGCTACAATCCCTACTCTCACGCACGAGGGAGGGCGATTGATGCCGTGCCCCCCCACGCACGAGGGACAATATCTGCAACCCCCTATCCTTTCTCCCAAGGCATGCTGGCGAACCCCCAATCAATTATTCGAGCGAAGCGTGTAATAGCATCGCGATGTCGGGGGCCCTCGTGGGGCCTCATTGGGGCTTCCCCGAAGAGGGCCTCGAGAAGCCCCTAAAAAGACTCCGAGAAGGCCTCGGCAGAGCCCCGGGAGTTGTCACGCGCACGGCCGCTGAAGTCGCCACTCGAGGCTCTCTTCGAGCAGATCAAGGAACCCCTCTCCCGGACCCTCCTAAGCCCTCCCAAGGTTCCGAGGAGGCCCTGGGAAGACACCGAGGAGCAACTGGAGGGCTCGTTCCCTCGCGGGACGCCTGCGGAGCGACGGGGATGCATCCCCAGACCAGAAAGATAGGAGAGGAGGTGCGCACGGAAGGCTGGCGAGGCCTCAAGGGAAGACAACGTACACACCAATGTTTGGCAAAACATCGTACTGAGCCAAAACAAGTCGGCTGTACGCAGGAGTGACCCTGGGAAAGAGTTGATGGGCCTGTTTTCCACCACCACCACCACAAGTTGGATGCGGGGGAAGGAGGTGAAGGATGAGGAGGAGGAGGAGGAAGAAGAGGGGGAGGAGGACCCCCTCCCCCCCTCCAATGTATGGTGGTGGTGGTGGAAAACAGGCCCATCAAGAGTGACCTTTGGTGCGCGGCTCCACACGGGGGCGCGGGGTGGCCAAGCCTGGGCAGCGCAAGCCGCTGCAGAACACTCCGCCCTCAACGATCGGGGGACCCCATCGGGCCCGCATCAGAGGTCACTCCGGCGAGGGGTCACGCCGCCTTCGTTCGATCGCGCACGCGCGCCTGCGAACCGAGCGAGGGTCTGAGGCCGCGCCCTGCCCCCCCCCCCCCCCCCCCCCGCTCCTCCGAAGGGGCCCAAGGACACACAAATAAATGCGCACAGATCCCAGGATTCCCCTATCGTTTTCCATATTTTTGGGGTTTTCGTCTTCCCCCCCACTTCCCATATTTTCAAATGTTTCCTATGGAATCGATGATTCATTGTGTCTGTGTGATTTTTTCCCTTCCTGATCCTCGCCCGGCGGCTGCACCGCGGGATCGGCTCGAAGTGCCACTCTCAGGGGGCGCTGGAAGCGACAACTCGCAGATGCCTCTTCGGGGCCGCGCCCTTATTAATCGTCCCCCGGGTCCGGTTTTTTAAGGCGCCTTTTTGGTCATTAAGGGGGTCCGGTTTATTAGGTCGCTTTCTTTGGATTGGAGCTGAGGGGGTCTGGTTTATTAAGGCGCCCCATCGAAGAGGGGGTCCGGAATATTAGGTCGCATATGGAGGGGGGTCTGGTTTTTTAGGGGGGGGTCGATTAATAAGGGATTTGGAGTAGATTTAGGTCGGGCATGTCCCCCTACAGGCCGATTTTGGACGAAGACTTT